AAGGAAATGTCACGCTGGGTGATGTGCAACTGGAGAGAGGCTCGCAAATTTGAGACACGAGCTTAACAGTTGAAAATAATGAAACACTTTCATTTGAAGCCAGCAGCCTTTCGTTTCATTACTGGTGCCCTTGTCAGGTTCTGAAGTGAAACCGAGTAGGTTGGTGTGGTGGAGCAGTAGCTTTACCTACCAGGAGGTGGTACTGTTGAGTGATGGGACATGTGTTTCCCCTGTATTGTTTACTGTTCCCCTCGTCACTGCTCATTGCTGGAGCCACAATAATAATAATAATATTAATAATAATAATCCTTACATTTGATACAACGTCAAAATATCTCAGAGTATTTCTACAGGTAATTGCTGCCAAGTAGTGGCTGCGTGCAGCCGATTTTCAACCGAACAATTTTTATCCGAGGGACTGTTAGCCAGAACACGGGGAGAGACTCCCTTCTCTTTTTAAACAGTGCTGTGGGATCTTTCTATCCACCTGAACAGGCAGACAAGACCTTGGTTTCACATTTAATGTGAAGAGTGGCACCTTCACTACACAACACTGGACCGTCAGCCTGGACTATTAGCTCAAAGTCCTGACCTGGGGCTTGGACCGACGGGGAAGCGAAGAAGATCAGAGACGTAGTCATCAATAGGTACAACTCGAAGCTGGTTCAGTGAACCGTTGAGAGCGCAGATGGAGAAAGCGTCAGCCTGATTTGAGTCAGAAGGTTGTGGGTCCACACCTGGACTTTGAGCTCACAGTCTGACTCTCCAATGTAATGCTGGTGGAGTGCTGTATTGTCAGAAGTGAATCCTTCAGATGAGACATTAAACCGAGGTCCCATCTGCCTGTTCAGGTGGACATTAAAGATCCAATGGCACCGCTTAAAAAGAGAAGGGAGTTTCTCCCAGTGTCCTGACAACAATCCCCCAGATAAAATCAAATTGTTCATTCACTTCATGGCTGTTTGTGGGACATTGCTGTGCACAAATTGGCGACTGCATTCACCCACAAGGTACTCAGGCACTACACTACACTGTGAAGAGCTTTGAGATATCCTCCTAATGGGAAAGGTGCCGTGTCAAATGTAAAGATTATTGTCATTATTTTCAAGACAATGGGAAATAAGAATAAAGTCAAGTGGCCTTCCATCCATTCTCCTGGTCCAATTATCCCAGGTTCCTATCTCTCCTGCCCTTCGGTCACATTTCAGTGTACTCCTGCTTAGCTCGGTGTTTCTTTACTAGGACTGTAGGTGTATGTGTGTGTGTGTGATGCATGCCACATGGCAGTTTTTATTTTTGATCCATTCTACTTAATTCATCTATTCACTGCATGATCAATACTAATGATTCTTATATTATAATTTCTGTAATTTATTTACAGAAATAAGAATAAAGTCAAGGGGAGTGAAGGGAAGTTTTGACTCAAAAAAGTCAAGGCGCCTGTGGTTTCCTACCTTTTCCCACTTGCTATAATTGTGTTCTAAATTTATCAGAAATACAACTATTCAGTGCAACATTCATATCCAGTATTAGTCTGCTCTGAATAAATTCCTCTCCTCACACTAACTCGTTCACGTGGATAGGACTCAGCGCTCCTAAAATCAAGTCAATGGGGACTCTCCAAACCTTCCCGTCACCAGTTGGGATTGGATGTAGGGACATCAAAGGCAAATCCTCAACAATCTCAGAGTCCGAATGCCAAACCCCACAGTAACCGTTGCCCACAGCTCATTCCTCTAACACTGGGGATCAACCTCGTTGCTCTCTTCTGCTCTGTCTCTACGGCCTGGGAATCCATTTATGTCACGGTGACCAGAGCTGTATACAGTATTCAAGGTGTGTCCTGTCCAGAGCACTGTACAGCCTGAGTGTGACGTCTTACTACTACTAATAACAATCCTTGCATTTGATATCGTGCCTTATCACATCTTCGAAATGTCTCAAAGCGCTTCATGTGATCATCTTCCTAAGATCATGTTATTAGCATTGGAAGCGACCTGTTCACAGTGGACAACAATCATGCAATCTCCAAAGCTCTCTGAGGGTAAGTTCTGAGTGATATCATACCACACCAATGATGAACATCAAGTGTTAACCATCCCCATATCCAGAGGTTTAATATCCTGCCATGATCACAGAGTGTCCTGGTTTAATCAAAACGAGAAGGCAAAATTTAAAAGAATAAAACATCTTCATCTCTTTGCTGTTGTGCTCTGGGAACTGGAACACATAGAAATCACAGCTCAGAGGCTGTTCAGCTCATTGCGTCTGTACTGGAGCTTGCTCCTCCACTCAAGCTGGTACACTAATTCTAATTCCCCATACCTTGCCAATATCCTGCATATCGTTTCTCTTCAAAGTACTTTTTTAAAAAAGTTGTTATGATTTAAGCTTCCAAAGCAAAGTATGTTTTACTAACTCTCTGCTTAAAGAAAATCATTCTAAGCTTCCCTTAACTCTTCCTGTAAGGATGCTGCGTGTTAGTCTCTCTCAGTGTGTCAACCTCTATCAGTGTGTCAGCCCGGCTCAGTGTATCAGGCTGACTCAGTGTGTTTCAGCCTGGCTCAGTTTATATATCTCCCCAGTGTATCAGGCTGACTCAATGTGTGTCAGCCTGGCTCAAGGTGTCAGCCTTGCTCAGTGTCTCAGGTCGGCCCATAGTATTATTGAATATATGTGTCCGTGGGTGTGAGAAAATATTTCTGGCAATCGACTGACCACAGTTGGAAAATAATCTTGAGTGAGGGGTGATAGGAGTCATGAAAACGGAGATTATCGCAACTGAAATTACCGAAGTCAAGCTGCACCTGGGTCAACAGGATAGATTGCTTCTGTTTGGAGCATTTTTTTTTAGCACCAAAGCATTAAAAGTGTAATAAGTGTAACAACTGACTGCTATTTTTAGGCTGTGAATGTCTGATTACAGATTGAAGCATTTCTCAGCCTCAGGCTCTCGGCAACTTGTGGTAACCCTTGGGTCACAAGCTCACAGTCCACACTTGTCTGGTTAGCATGAGATAACGGGCTGCGGTTGAATAGTTTGATGTGAAGATTGTGCTTAAAAGCTGTAGCGAGAAAACACGCTCCACAATATTAATTTTTTTCAAATCCCGTTCGAGGCACCTTGTGTCACAAAAGCTCCCGGCTACTTAAATACTAGGAAGCGCAAGCGAGTAACGATTTACAATGCAATACAATACAAATTTACATTTATATAGCGTCTTTCACATCAGGAGGAAGTCTCAAAGTGCTTGGTTTGGAACATAAAACAGTATGAAGAAAATTAGGGTAGGAAAATTAATACGTGACGTGTAGTTATCACATTTCATGACATTGGTCATAATTATCACCTCATGTGACGTACGTAATAGTAATAATCCTTGCATCTGATACGGTGTCTTATCATTTCGGGGAGATGTCTCAATGCACTTCACAGGATTTATCACATCTATGCTCGACTATGCCAACTTGTTGGCCAGGACACCGGGAGAGGGAAACTCGGTTCTCTTTTCGAATAATGTCATGGGATCTTTAAAGCAAACCTGAACAGACAGATGGGATCTCGGTTTAATGTCTCATCCGAACAATGCAGCGCACCCTCACTGCACTGGAGGGTCAGCATAGACTGAGCTCAAAATTGCAACATGGGGCTTGAATCCACAATCAGCAACAACGGCAACAAATGCTTATGCTCGGCCGACCGACCCCATGTTCATACACATTTACACACACACTCGCGTATACACACACACATCCACATCACACATATTCACACATGTTTACACACACACTCACATATACACATACACACATTCACATACACACATGTTCACACACACTTACACACTCACGTTTACATACACACATACACACATACACACACATAAATACACACATATATATTATATACACATACTCCAAACACATAAACACACACACACCCACACGCACGGTGACCAAAAAGTCATGATATCTACCTTGTTATCCAGAAACAAACAAACAAAAAAAAACATAATTTCTTTCCGACTTATCAGACATTGTAATATATAGTTACAACATATCCCCCCCACCCCCAAGTTTCAGCGCCTGGGGACGTCCTCCTGACGTGAAAGGCGCTACACAAATGTAATTTTGTTGTTGTAGATAGAGCACTCTGGGGCACTGCCCCGGGTGAAGGGCGCGACATAAATAACAAGAACAACTTGCGCTAAGGGCAAGTGGTTGTGGTGGTTGTTGTTATTAGTAATGATACCACGACTTTTTGGTGTTAATAATACACGTTTGCCGGGCAATTTAGGAGTCCTGTAGCTCAGTGGTTAGAGCACTCGCTTTGCAAGCGAGAGACCTGAGTTCAATTCCAGGCAGAGGGCGAAACCTTGGGCAAGTTTCCTTACTCCACACAGAGCCTAATAATAATCCCTCCAAAACCAAAAACAATAATAAATTGGTCATTTTCAATCTACGACTGTTTGTGGGACATTGCTGTGCGCAATTGGCTGCAGCATTCGCCCACAAATATACAGTCAATTCACTTTACAGTGTGTTCTGTGAAGCGCTTTGGGACGTCCTCCTGACGTGAAAAGCGCTATATCAAATGCAAAGATTATTATTATTATTAATTGTCGGATGGATAGATTGATTAATTGATTGATGATTGATTGACTAATTGATGACTGATTGATTGATGATTGATTGATGGCCGATTGCTTGATCGATCGATCGATTATATCTTCTGATTATTCTGATCGTTACGGTTTGGCGACGCTCTCTGGGCCACAGCGCAGCCCCTCCCCCCCTGTGTGTGTGTGTGTGTGTGGGTGTGTGTGTGGGTGTTGCACAGGCCCTTAAAGGGGAAGCCCGCGGGTCGTCGGCACTTTCCCTTTAAGTGCCGGTGCACGAGAGTGGGGGCTGCGTCACTGCGTCTCTGCGTCACTCGAGCGGCGGCGGCGGCGGCGTCGCCTGGTTTTCGTAACCGGGGGGGGGGCAGCGCGAGGGGGCGGGAAGGAGGGGGAGGGGACCGGAGGGTCAGCGGCTGTTACTGCTCAGCTCGGCTCGGGATGGACACAGCTGCGGGAGCGCGGGGCTGAGCGGAGGGAGCGAGGCGAGGCTGAGGCCGGGGCCGGACCATGAGAACCTGTGCACTGACCACCACCTCACAACGGACATCACTGGGACATCACCCTGCGGGGAGGTGAGGGGGAGGGAGCGGGGGGGGAGGGGGAGTGAAGGAGAGAGGGAGGGAGTGAGTGAGGGAGGGAGTGAAGGAGAGAGGGAGGGAGTGAAGGAGAGAGGGAGGGAAGGAGAGAGGGAGGGAGTGAGGGAGGGAGTGAAGGAGAGAAGCAGAGGGAGGGAAGGAGAGAGGGAGGGAAGGAGAGAGGGAGGGAAGGAGAGAGGGAGGGAAGGAGAGAGGGAGGGAAGGAGAGAGGGAGGAGGAGAGGGAGGGAGGAAGGGAGGGAGGAAGAGAGGGAGGGAGTGAAGGAGGGAGGAGGAGAGGGAGGGAATGAAGAAGGGAGGTGAGGGAGGGAGGGAGTGAAGGATGGAGGGCAGGAGGGAGGAGGAGAGAGGGAGGTGAGTGAGGGAGGGAGGGAGTGAGTGTGTGTGTAAAAAAAATCTGCAGAGCTGCTGGATTCAGAATTCAAACCATATTAATAATAATTATTAATTATTATTATTATAATTTATAGCCCCCGTTTTGGTGCATTGGTTGGGATGTTTCCAAGATGGGTGCAGAGCAAAGAGAGCTGGAGAGAGAGAGAGAGAGAGAGGGGGGGGGGGGAGATAAAATAGGAAAACTGTCAGGCCATGAGGAATAATAATAATAATAATATGTAATGCTGATGTCTTGCATTTGATATAGCGCCTTATATCGCGTACTTGGCGAGACGTCGCAAAGCGCTTCGAGGGATATTACTGTACTGTAGAGCGGATTGACTGTGTGTTTTGTGGGCGAAGAAAAGAAACATTTTTTTTTTCTCTCTCCCCTCCCATCGGTGGAGTGAGTGCATCTGACGTCTTATTGTCTCGCCTATCGTACCCCCCCACCCACCCACACACACACACTATATGTTATATATATATCTTATATATATGCAAGTATTATTATTTATTATAAACCTATCATTTAAATAATAATAAACCTGGCATTTGATATAGCGCTTTATCGCGTCGTTGAGACGCCTCAAAGTGCTTCATAGGAGTGACTGTGTATTTTGTAAAGTGGAGTGACTGTGTATTTTGTAAAGTGGAGTGATTGTGTATTTTGTAAAGTGGAGTGACTGTGTATTTTGTGGGCGAAACGCAGCAGCCAATTGCGCGTAGCAGTGTCCCACAAACAGTTGCGGATTGAATGACCAAATTATTTTTTATATGTATTATACAAATATAGGTGTATACTCATGTGTTTATTATTGTTCACTATCCATCTACATACGAGTGTGTTTGGGAAGTGAGCCGGTATTTAGATTTGTTTTGCATTGTAACTTTTTAAAACCCATATTTTTTGTGGATGCTTTGCATCACATTAATGTATTCTATATAAAAATTACATGTTTATATAAAAATTATATATTTGAGCGAAAAAACAATTGTTTTACCATTTCACAGCTGCCTGTTGCAATTCATATGTGAGTTGACGTTGTTTGTATGTGTGTGGGAGAAAGGATAGAGACGGGGCTAGTAATGCAGCCCCTAAATGGAAACAAATAGGAAAAATCGCACAATTGTCTTTTGCATTTTTACACAATGCAGTTACACCACAGGGCGATTTTGTTGTGTGTTTCTTCCTTTTTTTGTTGCTAAACAATGCAAACAGCTTTTCAGCCTGCAGAATGGGGTTGTTCATTTAAAATGCACATTTTTATCTGCAGCAGCTGAATGGGTAACGCCAGAGATCTGTGTGATTTGCATTTATTGTAACTTTTTCTGAAATGTATATTTATATATACACACACAGAAACATAGGTAGATTTACTTACGAAGGAGTTTCTTTGCATTGGGACCCTGTGTTTTTTTTTGGTAAATTATGAAATTAATTTATAATAAGAATTTGTCTGCAAAGGAGAGACGATCAAGTTGAGTTTGTGTTTTGGACTTTTCTGTGTCAAATGTTTTAATATTAATATTTTTCAATATATTTGTATGAGTCGAGTGTTTTTGTAACTTTTTAAAATATTGTGTGTGTATATATATGGTATGTTTGCAGATGGCTTGTTGTATTATGAGCCTGTGACCTATATGTGTGTGACATGTGAAGTGAGCTTGTATTTAGATATTTTTTGCATTGTAACTTTTTAAAAATGATATTTTTCATATAATATATCATGCCATAGCAAGGATATCGAGGCCTTGGAGAGGGTGCAGAAGAGATTTACCAGAATGGTACCACGGATGAGAGACTTTAGTTGTGTGGGAAGACTAGAGAAGCTGGGATTGTTCTTCTCAGAGCAGAGAAGGTTAAGGGGAGATTTAATAGAGGTGTTCAAAATTCTGAGGGGTTTTGATAGAGTAGATAGGGAGAAACTGCTTCCACTGGCAGGTGGGTCGGTAACCAAGGGACATAGATTCAAGATAATTGGCAAAAGAACCAGAGGGGAGATCAGAATTTTTTTTACACACAGAGTTGCTATGGTCTGGAATGCACTGACTGAAAGGGTGGTGGAAACAGATTCAATAGCAACTTTCAAAAGCGAATTGGATAGGTACCTGAAAAGAAAAATTTTGCAAGGATATGGGAATTAGAAGTGGACAGGCACACAGTGAACTGAATCGCCTCCTTCTGTGTTGTAATATTCTATGATTCTAGGATTCTATATGTGTATGATTTGTCAAGTGTGTTTTTTTTCCATTGTAACAGTCATTAACCACATTAGTTATAAATAATTTGCAGGTGGCCCAATGCCTTGCATTGTATCCGTATGAGAGATCTTACGGATCCATAATAAATCCATGACTGTTTGTGGGTCACTGCTGTGTGCAATTGGCTGCCGTGTTTCGCCCACAAAATAAAGCTCTTTGGGATGTTTTGACGACGTGATAAGGCGCTGTATCAAATGCAAGGATTATTACTATTATTATAACTCATCACCCCAAGGGAAACGAGATCAACTAATAGTAACCGAGAGTGGCGAGTTAGACATAGATCCTCCTGGGCACAAGGGAACGCTGTGACTGGTGCGGGGCGCTGGACGTAGGTTGGTCGAGTGCTCAGATTCATCACAGAAGCGCAGGCTTGGGCGGGAGGCTGGGCGGGAGGCCACGGTAGACCAATAGACCTCTGCGTGCATCTGCGCCCAACCTCTGCCAAGCGTCTGCACCTGTCACAGGTCAGGGTGGGAAGTCTCTGAGAAGCAATGCGCCATCTTAACAGGATGAGTTGTCAGAAGTAATTTAGAGAATTTCTAGAACGTGACTAGTTACGTGGAATGACAAGTAAAGCTGAGTCCCTTATTAACATCTTACATGGGAAGCTGCCGGGATATTGACACCATGGCTACTTAACAGCTAGTGACTATTTAAACCAGGGCCCTTGTTATCAGGAGTTTACTGTATAGGTATCACTGTATATATTTGCAGATGGCTCCATGCACTGTGACCCTGTGAGATCTCTATGTGTGTGATGTATTCAGTGTTTGGATTTTTTTTTGCATTGTATCTATTATGTATAGATCTGAATTTTTTTTGAGCTGGGTGCACTGTTTCTCTGTGCTCTCTCTGTCTATCTCCTTCTGTCTGTTTTGTGTCTTCCTGTACGTACTCTCTCTGTGTTGCTGTAATCTCTCTGTGTTGCTGTGAGATGTATTTTTTTTGGAGGTGTGTGTGTGGTGCTGGGCTGTAGTGTGTTGGTGTGTTGCTGGGGGCTGTAGTGTGTGTGTGTGTGGTGCTGGGGGCTGTAGTCTGTGTGTGTTGTAATCTATGTTGTGTTTCAGTAAACTATAATCGCATACTCATCAGCATAAAACTTTGTACCCCATCACGTCAGTCCTCGCCAGGCTCCACTGGCTCCCTATCACTGAACAGATTGACTTCACAATCCTCACACTCGTCTTCAAATCCCTTCATGCCCTGGTACCTCCCTACCTTCAACCCAATCCGTTACCCGATGTCTCCTCCCGACTGTCTCCAGTCCCCTCCTTGTCCCTCGTGCCCTCCGTTCCACCATCGGTGTTTGCGTTTTCAGCCATTATGCTCCAAAACTCTGGAACACTCTCCCGCAATCCCTCTGCCTTGCCCCCTCCTTCCCCACCTTCAGATCATGCTTGATGATCTTCCTCTTCCACTTAGTTTATGGTCACCCGCAGCCCTCTCCCCCCACACCACGGCTCAGCGTCTGACTCCGGCACTGTCAAGTACTCTGGGATGCTACTCTGTTTGTGTGTTGCTGTAATGTGTGTGTGTGTGTGTGTTGGTGTTTATAAACGTATACGTGTGTTGGTATTGCGGTAATCTGTGTGGGTGTTGGTATGTGTATTGGTGTTATCTCTGTATTGTTGTAAGGAGTGTGTGTTGGTGTTTATCAGTGTGTACTTGGGTTGGTATTGTTTCCGGGACACAGCTGTGCGCAATTGGCTGCCATGTTTGGCCCACAAATATATAGTCAATTCACATTAAAGTATATTCTGTGAAGCGCTTTGAGACGTCGAGAAGATGCGAAAAACACTATATCAAATGCAAGGATTTATTTTATATTGTTATTGCTGTAATGTGGGTGTGTTGGTGGGTCGGGTGAGGGCTCGCGTCGGTGGGAGGTCGGGTGAGGGCTCGCGTCGGTGGGGGTCGGGTGAGGGCTCGCGTCGGTGGGGGTCGGGTGGGGGCGTGCGTCGGTGGGGGCGTGCGTCGGTGGGGCGCGCGTCGGTGGGGGCGCGGTCGGTGGGGGGGCGGGTCGGTGGGGGGCGGTGGGGGTCGGTGGGGGGCTCGGTGGGGGCTCGGGGGGGGTCGGGTGGGGGGTCGGGTCGGTGGGGGCGCGCGTCGGGTGGGGGCGCGCGTCGGTGGGGGCGCGCGTCGGGTGGGTGGGGCGCGCGTCGGTGGGGGGTCGGGTGGGGGCGCGCGTCGGTGGGGGGTCGGGTGGGGGGCGCGCGTCGGTGGGGGGGGGTCGGGTGGGGTCGGTGGGGGGTCGGTCGGTGGGTGGTGAGGGCATTTGTCGGTGGGTGGTGAGGGCATTTGTCGGTGGGTCAGGGGGGTGGGGGCATGGGTTGGGGTGGGGGCGCGTGTCGGTGGTTCGGGGTGGGGGCGCGTATTGGTGGATGGGGACACGTATCAGTGAGTGGGAGCGCATATCGGTGTTTGGGTGGGGGGCGCATGTCGGTGGGTCGGGGGTGCGCTTGCGGGTCGGGAGGGGTGGAGGCACGTGCGGATCGGGTGGGGGTGCACGTGGGTCGGGGTGAGGGAGTGGGGACGTACGTGGGTCGGATGGGGGTGCACGGGGGTTGGCGGATGGGGTGGTGTGTTGGTTTTCTACAGTGGCATCCTGCAGCTCACTGGTTAGAGCACTTGCCTCGTTAAGCGAGAGACCTGAGTTCGATTCCCGGCAGGTCGAAACCTTGGGCAATTTTCCTTACTCCACACGCCTGATAATCCTCCAGAAAAAAAAAACAATAATAAATTGGTCACTTCAATCCACGACTGTTTGTCTGCCCCGTTTCGCCCACAAAAATCCAGGCAATTCACTTTACAGTCTATTCTGTGAAACGCTTTGAGACGTTGAGAAGACGTGAAAAGCGCTGTATCAAAATGCAGGGATTATTATTATCAACTCTGTGCGTTACTGTAACCTCTCTCTCTCTGTTGCAGGAGGTTGGCGGCTGAGGGATTGTGGGGAGTGGGCTCAAGGCAGTGAGAGCCAGATTGAGCTCGCGGCAACTGCTTCCCGTCTCTCGCCCCCCGCCCACCGTGTGCCGCCCGCGGACATGCAGCAATGGCGGCCTTCGGGCTCCTGAGCTACGAGCAGAGACCCCTCAAGCGGCCTCGGCTGGGACCCCCGGACGTTTACCCTCAAGACCCCAAACAGAAAGAGGTAATAACCCCTCCCGCAACGCTGTGAACCCCCCCTCAATAATACGAATAATCATAACAACGTGAGCTCCTCAATATTATAATCACAAAAACAATAATGTTGTGATCTCCCATAATAATAAGACATTATTATTAANGGGGGGTAATAACAACAATAACCATGTAGCTCCCCCTTAACCATTGTGATCTCCTTCCTTCCCTTCCCACTTTCAAATCATAATAATAATAACATTGTGACCATTTTACATAATTAACACTAGCATTAATGTTTTGGGTCTAACTTCTTCAGAAACCATTGGAAAATCTTTTCCAGACCCATAAACTGTCTTTGTGGTGTCCTGTCGCTTAGTGGTTAGAGCACTCGCCTCACAAGCGAGAGGACCTAGGTCTGATTCCCGAGCAGGGCGAAATGTTGAGCAAGTTTGCTTACTCCACACGCGTCTGTTTACCTAGCAGTAAGTAGGAACCCGGTTGCTAATCGATCGACAGATTGCTTTACCGGAGATAATAATCCCCTTCAAAAAAAGACAATTCCATGAAAAGACTTGGAAATCAAAAGCACGAGACAGTGCCAACCAAAGATGTCAAGACAACTTCAAGGAAGCTATTAAATCGGGCAAATTCTGCTATAACTTACAAATCTCTAAATTCTTAAAAGGGAAGGGGGCTTGTAAAAAGAAGTGATTCATGAACTGCTCTATATATGACCTTTAATGTGGTTTACTTAATATGTATAGCATAAGACTTACTGTTGTGAAAATTCTGTTTTCTAGTAAACTCGGAAGGAGACTAGAGAGAGAGAAAGAGACAGACACACACACACAGCTGAGGAAAGCGGAGCTCTGAGAGAATAGCCAGGATCCTATTGAAGTCCGAAAAGGGAAAAAAAGAGAGACATTCGTGTTAATGCTGCCTGCATGTTGATAAACAAGATGCTCCTGCAAAGCATATTACTTATCGAGAGGGCAAATATCACGGTCACCTTGTTTTGAATTGACACTCTACCTCTTTTCAAGGATATTAATGTAAATAGTCTGTATGAATAGAGTTTGTGCAAAATAAGATACTTTGAAGCGCATTCATGGCCTAGGACAAAAATATAATTTAAAACGGTAATGACAGCCTTGACGACACGAAGTCTGTGACCTGGGTGAGTTATTGAAACAGAAAAGACAGGATAGGATCAGTGGGAACCTATGGTTACATTGAAAGTGGAGGAAATTGGAAATGGAGGGAAAAAAGTATCAATACAATACATTGGAAACAGGATGATTAGGAAAATATAAAAGGAAAGGTTGCTCTTTGCGTGTCATCAAGGCGTTACGTGCCTGACTTGAGAGCCTTGTGTCCAGTTCAAGATTGTTTTTTTTTGTCTACTAACTTAGGGTAAAGCTGCTTTGGTCATAACTATATTTCTTAATGTTGCGACCGTTTATCTTGTTCTGAGCAGTGTAAGTGAGACGTAGGGTTTTAAGGGCCAATAAAATACCGTTGAGTTTTCAATACGTGCTTCTCGAGTTTCTGTTAAATTCAAGGAAGGAGGGAGCACAAATGAATTCCTGGGGAAGTCAGCTGTCTGATAGTGCGAAGGATACTGATTAAAAACATCCCTTTGTTGTGCAATAGGAATTGGGATAACCTGTCGTCGTGTGTAAATTCTCATCCTTGGAGTTTCAACAGAGTGGGAACTTGCACAATACAGAGAAAGGATCTATACAGAGGCCAATTGGTACACCGAGCTCTTTGTCATAACGTGGGGAAACAGCCTCCCTCTCCTTCCACTCCTTCCTGCCTCCCTCTCCTTCCACTCCTTCCTCCTCTTTCTGCCACTTCTCTCTTCTTCTCCTCTTCCTCCTAGTTCCTCTCTCTCCTTCCTCTCCCCTCTGCTCCTTCCCCTCTCCTCTCTCTCCTTCCTCTCTTGTTTTCTCTATTGTTTGGTAATTTCTCCTGGCTACCGATAGATAAGTGACCCAAGTATCATTCATGATCGAATCGAGGGCTATGCAATGTTTAGGCTCCACACCTGTTCTTTCCAGAGGTCCCCAATCTAGTATGTGTATTTCCCCCCCAAAATCCATTTCAATCCCAAGTACCATATCCAGGGTTCATAGACTAATGTTTGAGAATGACTGTTTTCTCTCTTTTCTATGTGTCACGATCCAGGGCAGTGCTGGGAGTGTGTTGTATTGTTGGAGATGCTGTCATGAGAAGTCCCAATGTTCTGGTGAATGTTAAAGATCTCTTGAAACTATTCAAAAAGAGGAGGGAGTTTCTCCTGGTATCCTGGCCAACCAAATTGGTCATTTGTTTCAAGGCTGTTTGTGGGACGTCGCTGTGCACAATAGTGCTGCCCTGTTAGCCTGTAAATGCATAATCAATCCATCTCACAGTAATTCCTACAACTCTTTGAGAAGTTTTTACACGATGAGGGGCTTTACCAAATGTAAGGATTATTATTATTATTGAGTCTGACTATGGCAATGCCATTGCTGCCCCAGCTAAAGTCAACTCAGGTGTCATGTGCACCCGAGATCTTCCTATTCTTTCAGGCCCAGTACCACAGTAATTTTTCCTATATCTTTTGAATTATTCAGACACCTTGTCATTATGAACATTTGCAACCAGCCTCACTGGCTGCAGGATATGCCCAGCTTGGCAGTTGCACCCTTCAGTTTCTAGTCTTCAAGACTGCGTCTGACGCTGACCTTGTCCCTTAACACCGTTGCAGCATTCCATTTTAACCACGCACCAGGTGTCATAACAGGTTTGCTGTTGCAGTAAACAAGCGTCTCCTCATTCATAATTTAAAGTGTAGCCAGTCAGTTTGCCAACTTCATAAACTGAAGACAAATCTGCATTGTGACTCAGATGGACATTTCAAATAACGTTGAGCTCGGCTGGTGATTATTCTGCCATACGTTCTCCTCACTGTCCAAATGTACCCCTATATTCAAGATTATTGATCTTGTATGTGGGATTTTGTTGATCCAGATTAGCTGTTGATTTTGCCTCAAACATTTACTTTATTTTCTTATTGATCTTGTTTTGTAAGGAGCTTTGAGATGTTCAGTTTCTATGAAAGGAAATGGAGCTGGTTGCTGCTGTATTTTTGGTATTTTATTTTTGTTCTGAAAATTGTGCTAGTTTTGGAATTGAGTCTGTTAATTACAATTCGATCAATAAGTAATAATTGACTGTCTAATGGAGAACAACGCCTGTATCGAATGCAGGGTAATGAATGATTTGGATTGTGTTCCAAAGACTTGGAAACATCAGATGACCTTACACTATGAACAGCGCTGAAGGTACAAGTGTGTTGAATAGTGTCATGAAGAACAGGTGACGAAGATCTTGTGTTAAGCTCTCTCTGAGACGTGGAGGGCGCTATATAAGTGCAAGTTGTTGTTGTTAATGTCTCATCTGAAGAATGACTCCTCTGACAATGTAGTGTTTGAGTGCCAGCCTCTGAGTTATGATTATGATCTGATTTGTGGCATGAAACCCACAGCCTCAAAAGAAACCACTTTTGCTACTCTCACGTAATCCAAACACAAAACGCCGGCTTTGTGCACTTTCACATCCCATCACAGTGTATCTTGAAGAGCTAATTGTGGAGAATCTGTTCTCTGAGTGTATTTCACATCAACAGATGAACTTTTGTTTTAAAATATCATTCTCACATTCTCACCTTGTTTGAATGCCACGACATGCATTTAAAAAATGACAAAAGTTCTGTATGAAAGAATATTGCACCAATAGATTGTATGATTATTACTAATCCTATAGAAAGCTGTTGTGCAATATATGAATGCACTATGGAACCGTCTCAGAGGATAATTTTATTGGTACTGACCTGATTTGGGATCAACTGTGGTGCATGCAGCAGAACATACAGCAAAGAGCCCTGTCAGGAACTGTTGTGTTTTGATTTTCCAACGTGGCCTTTGAAGTTGGGAAAAGGATGGATGAATGGATTAATCTTTCAGACATCTAGTACAGACATGATGAGTGAACAGCCTTTTGTCCTGTGCATTTCTATGGTTCTATGGCATAACTTGCCATTGATATCGCTGACTGGCAAGTTTTCCCACTGCTTGTCCAGCTAGGACCACTCTATCTATTAGGGCTTTGGCTTGCAGGGTTGATAGGAACTGAATGGGATGTCTCCCTGCCCCCACTGACTGGTCTGCCTTTCCAGGTCCTGCTAATGAGTCAGGCTGGCTGTGCTGTCATCAGCAGTGCCCTAGAATACTGCAGACCCGCCTGGCTCAGGAACCGGACTGTAATTCCAACCCTGGCGTTATTTGTAAATCCTGAGTTCTGCGTTACCCTTGCTCTGCTTCAGTGTATGGAGATCCCATTCAATATTTAGGAATCCTGTTGGGAACATACCATTCAAATCTTGTGGCTGCAATAAATTATTTTACTAATTTTTGTTTCCCTTCAAATTGAAGGACTGTTTACTTTTTCACCCCTTCCTATTTTTTCATGATTGGACAAAGTAGCAAGAGTCATAATGCAGAGGATAACAAACCAGTAAATTAGTCACTCATCTCATGTCTCTAGTGGGACATTTAAACACTCCGAGACGCTGTCTAGGGTGAAGGGCACTATATAAATGCAAATTGTTGTCACTGCATTCACTGGATTATCTGATGACTGCACAATCTTTTGTCTCCTTTTGACTTCAGTAACATTTCCACATCAAAGTACTTAACAAATTACATGCATTCTTAAGCCACCTTGAGAGACTATAACTAACACTTGTCCCCTACTTTTATACCTTTGTAAAAAAAATCCTAAGATTTTACTCCTGTTGTCCAGACCAACAATCGCCCAAATAAAATTAGTCATTCATTTATGAGACATTGCTGAGTGCAAATCGTCTCCAGCGTTTGCCAACTAAACCCACCCTCACTGCTTTATGAGATATCTTCTGAAGTGTTTTGGAACGTGCTCCTGATGTAAAAAAGCACAATACAAAAGGTGAGTTATTATTTGAAAATTGAGTTCTTGAGTTATTTTAGAATAGTCAAGTTAGCCAATAATTTCAAAGATGGAAACTAACGTAGTAATAAACCGCTTATCTTAATCATGATTTTTTAAAAAAAAACATGACTTGCTCTCGCAGTGTTTTCCTTCAGTGGCCCCAGGCCAGGGAGGAGAGAAATCATCCAAATCTGATCTCTCATCAGTGATCCCCTAGTGGAAAGTGGATGTGTGAATGTCAGGTGAGGACAGGAGAAACGGCCAAGAGCAAAGCAGGTTGTTGAGGCAGAGTTCTTTCGAAAGCAAAATCGTTAAATGCTTATTGGTCAGTCAGGTGTCTGACATGTGCGCAACCCCTCAGCATATTTAGAAACTCAAGAGTTCCACACATCTATGCCATCTACACATGGAAATTTCCACATTTCTGGGAGATGTGCTGCATGCCTGGCAGTATTAGGTTGATGAGGGGGAAGGAAGGCTTGGGGACCCCAGAGTGTGCTTTGGGGTAACTGCTGGAGTTTTTTAAAAAAAATGTGCACCTTGCTATTGAGAGAACTGTCTGCCAGGCTTCCCACTGCTTATCTAGCGAGCACCGTTACCGATTGGGGCTTTGGCTTGCAGCGTAAACTGAGTGGGAAGAACCCCTGTGGGGGTTAAAGCTCTGTCATGATCTAATAAACTGTCAGAACAGTCTCGATGGATTCATGTGGGTTTCTATGACCTGTTTCTGTATCATTGTAACATTGCATGATGTAAAAGCTTGCTTATACTTGGCATTTCGTCTGACAGGTGATGAAATGTGTGCTAGATTCAGAGTTGCGGTTTTTAAACAGCGATTCACTGTGACAGTCGGTGTCGTTTCATAAGGTCACGGAGAAGATCCAGTTCAGAGTAGTTCCTTTGACATAAAAATAAATAGAAGTCTCTTTGGGAAATTTATAAATTATTTTGTTTTACAAACTTCATTTAACGTTTTTTTTCTCCTTCTAATCTGAATTCCCCTTCAGTCTGTACTAAATTTGTTGAATCCGAGCAGTTCATTTTCTTTGGAAGAACAATGAATACAGATCATTCTGGTGTAGAAATTTTATTGGAATTTCCCTCCTCCTTTCCCCGACGGTTGCATATTAATAATCATAATCCTTAATCCTTCCATTTGATATAGTATTGGTGCCGTGCTGTTTTGTTGGACTCATTAAACTTAAGATATTGTGTGCCTGTTGGGTGGACACTAAAGATCCTGTGACATTCATTTGGTCTCTTTCCTAACGTGGGGCATTAAGTCCTGCTGCTCCTCTGCCCTCCCCTGCCCCCCACCCACCCACTTAGGCATTTACAGGCCTGCAGAGCCTCTATCTCCATAAGACAATACTCCAACCAAGAGGTACTGTTACCATCAAACAATAATCCTTGCATTTGATACAGTGCCCATAATGTGAAAACTTCCCAAAGCTCATACTAATAAATAATAATAATCCTTGCATTTGATATACAACAACAACTTGCACTTATATAGTGCCCTCCATGCAGGACAGCGTCTCAGAGTGCTTGCATATAGCGCCTTATCACCTCTTTGAGGCGTCTCAAAGCGCTTCACAGAATATACTGTAAAGTGGATAGATTGTGTTTTGTGGACGAAACTCGGCAGCTAATTTTGCACAACAGTGACCCCAAAACAGCCATGAAGAGTGAATGAACAATGTATTTGGAGAATTGTTGGCCAGGACATTGGGAGAAACTCCCTTCTCTTTTCGAATTGAGTCATGGGATATTTAACGTTCACCTAAACAGGCTCAGTTTAACCCCTCATTGGAAGGATGGAACCTCTGACAATGTTAGCATGCTCCCAGAATTGGAATATCAGCATGACTTGGCTCAAAATCCCTGTTGTGGGGCTCAAACCCGGAAGGGTTTAAGCCCCACAACTTAACTCGGAAGGGAATATTCTATCACCTGGCAGTTGGTAGCATTCTTCCCAAAGAACGACACCGTTTCTGTTTTTGACTGTTTAAGCTCCACTTCTTTGTTCTGAAATTAATTGCTGTGTGTCGTGGTCTCTGCAGAGTTTCACGTTGCCACCACAAACCATTTGGAGTGTCTGTGGAATAATTGTCAGGTCTGTGAACCAGGTGATGATCCTCAGGTGAAAACTGTACTTATGAAAGCTTATTGTAGCATTCACTGGGGAATACGTGCCTTTGTTTCAGGCAAAGTAGTGTTTGCGCCAGAGTGAAACCATGGGGCGATTGAGGGGAGGAGCAGACAGCAAACTCCCAGTTGTGTTCATATCTGGTGCTCCTGATGGGATTCCATCTCCTCTCACAGCTGTGTTGTTTACCAGCGATGCACCAAGTCTCCTCAGGGCTGGCCAGTGGGAATATCTTGGCTTAGAACTACAGTAATTGGGTCCCTGCAGAAGCTTTCGTACAAAGCTAACCAAAGGGAAAGAATTCTCTGTACCTATAATTGCCTCTCAAATACTTTCTTGAAAATCTTGAAAACTTACTGCTCAGTTTTTCTGTTGAATAATTTGCTTGCTGATTAAAACTTAATCCTTAGTGAAATTTAGTTGTAATTGTTGTAATTGTTTGGTCAGCTTGTCTGACATACATCAGGTAATTCCATCACTGTGCTTAAGAGTCTCCAAACAAAACTTCCGAGCTGATAAGATCCAAGATGTTGGGATCCCAATGTGTGATTTGCCAAATTTTAATAAAATTGCTAAATTTTAACCAGCTAAAACCATTGTAAACACTGGCAAGCTTCCTGCTGCTTGTCCAGCTAGGGTACCCTAACCCACTGGGGTTTTGTCTTGTGGGGTAAACAGGAGTTGAGCAGGAAGTATTCCCGACCCCAGTGACAAGTCTGCTCCTCCATATCCTGCTAATGAGTCAGGCTGGCTGGTCTGTCATCAGCTGTGCCCTGGGGTATTGCAAACCTGCCTGGCTCAAGATGGGATTACTGAGACTGCCACTGTGGATCAATTCGATCCGATCTTCCATTATCAGGTGTGTCACCCTTGGAGCCAGCTCATCCCCAAGCCCTCCATTGCTTCCAATGCCTTGTGATGCTACCACATAGCAACTTTGTAGGCTATATTCCCCACTGACCTCTAGTCTTCTGTCAGTAATGTGTCTGGATTTGTTCTGTAGGTTCTGATCCATCAAAACTTGGTTAGGATTTGTACCAGGTTTTTGCTTTGATAAACGCCACTTTGCAAATTGCAAATTTGCAAATTCTGTGACCTTAAACAGCAGCATAATTTCTGGCTGTGCACGGAGTATTGGAACAGGCTTACCCTGTCCCCTGTGTTTAAACCACACCAGAAATAAACAATGAAACTCTGACCCTCAGAAGCACTGCAGCTGGAGCTGCCTTTCACAAAAGGTCAAGAAGACATGTTCTCCACATTGTCTCATGTCTATTATAATGATGATTGCTAAAGAAGAGCATTGACACATGTATGAAAGCAGTTCTCTAATCCCTGACCATTGAACTCTTGGCTTAATGGGTTAAAGGCTGTAGACTGAGCCAGTTTTGTCAGTGTAACATTCATTGCACTTGAGTTGGTTGAACTGACCCATTGTGTTTGTTTTACAGGATGAGCTGACTGCAGTGAATGTAAAACAGGGGTTTAATAATCAACCTGCTTTCTCTGGAGATGAACATGGCTCAGCTAGGAACATTGTTATCAACCCAGCAAAGGTAAGGTAACATTTCCTTTTGAGTTCAACAGGTTTGAGGAACTAGCAAATCATTGTGGAGTTAGATAGAGTATGTTTGATGGTCCAAATTCCCACAACATTTAAAGAACAGGCTTTATAGCTTGCATCCTCTCAGATAAATACATCATCTGAGTATCCTGGCCAACCATATAAAATAAAATCAGTCATTTGTTTCATGTGGGACCGATTGTGAGACATTGCTCTGTCCAATTGTGCTGCTGCATTCACACATAATTTCCGAATAATGAAAAACGTATTTGACTGCAAGTCTTTGTGGGGTTGGGAGAGTGATTTTCGAGACGAGAATGGAAATTAATTTCAGGCAGTGCCTCTTATACTTTAACTTCAGGGCTGTGTTTGTTCCACTGTTGCTAATCTGAAAGACTGTATTTAAAATCTAAAATCTCTATCAGATTTTGTGCATAACTTGCCTCTCCACTCGCCTAGTTTGGGTACATCTCTGAACCACAAAATTCTGACCATAAAATATACAGTTAATTGAAACTGCTGCTCCAACTTTACAGTATATCCTGTGAAGCGCTTTGAGACGTCTCAAAGACGTGATAAGGCGCTATATCAAATGCAAGGATTATTATTTTTATAACCATTCATGTTGAGAGTATTCTTGGAGCGTTCGACACTGTTAACTGGGAGTGGAAACTGAGGGTGATAGTGAATGGAAGGGAATCCTGAAAGTGAGGATGTGAGGAAATTTTTTTTTTTTACTCGACTGAAATTGGGCTGGTGTCTGTATTTGTATCTACGTGAAAAAGTGGAGCTGCTGTTATTTCAGAGCTGTTCATAATCTGGCCCAGGAGACCATATTGTAAGCATCCCCCTCCCTGTCCCTTGTGGCCCTCTGTGGTTTTGTGGGGCTTGTGTTTAATTATCTCCCCTTCCCTGGGAGTCGGTGCCTCGGGACTGGCAGATGGGGTTCTGCTTCTGAAAGTTCATTCTGGAATTAGATGCTCTTCAAGCATAAGATTTTCCAACCACAAATGAGATGATGCTGTTCCTTCCAAAGAGCCAACCACTCTGACCCCAAATGTGGTTCTACTTCAAAGTAAAGCCCTACTTTGGGACACAAGTGTGTATTGATGTTAGTGACTTGGATACATTCAACCTTGCACGATAACATGGACAAAATCTCAAATGCAGCAGCTTCCAGCTCCTTGAGCAGCTTTTGTTTTGGGGGATGGTTTTCAGGCAGAAACTCTCTCTGGAATTAACCAAGAGAAGACAAAAAGGGCTCAGCAATGCTGTTCTACAGTAAACAGAGAGGAAGACATTTGTTGAGAATTCCATAGGATTTGTAGAGGAATTAATAATAATCCATATATTATTGTATAATAATAATCCACATATCTGAGCCACCTTACACTTTGACAGGACATCCCAAAGCAATTCACAGGTTTAACATCTCACCCAAAGGACGGCACACTCACAGCACTGCACTGTAAGCCGAGGCTGTGAGTTGAAAATCCCAAAGTGGGGGCTTGAACCCACAACCCAATAACTCTGAGACTACAGTGATACCAACTGAGCCAGCCTGAGAACTACAGTGAGCAATGATCCACTATCCAGCAGACGTTACATGCCGTGAGCACAATTATGAATCAGAGAATCAATAATAGATTTCAGCTTTAAAGTTGGCCAGGATTGCCCAGTTAGACATCTCTGTCAAAGGCCGATTCATAGATACGAAGCCTACGCCGTGAGCTCAATGTCCTGCTGTGGGACTTCAACTCACAGTCTTCTGACTAGGAGATGAGAGTACTACCAACTGACCAGGCTGATACCTAGGTTAGGGACCTCACCCCGAGATAGTTTTAACACAGAGCAGATGAAGCAGTTCTACACACTTGTGTTACATTTAAAATAATAATTTATTCAATGTCGTCACCAAAACTTCAGCACTGGTAGAAGTTCATATCTTCAGTTTTTATTGGTTTTCAAACTACATTCGGAATTAAAGTGCAATTGTAAGACAATCTATGGGAAATACAAAGTTAGTGGCTTTAAATAGGGCCTAACTTACTGCAGCTGGAAGTTCTGTTTATCAAATTAATAAACGCTGTACTGTCAACGACAGATCTTCACAAGGAAATTGTTTCTTCCCTAGTCTTTAATTCTGTGCTAAACTTCTAAGACTTAATATTTGATAAAAGTCTCACAGTGAGAGCACAAACTACTGTTAGCACGTACTTGTGATTGGACAACTGTACTTTTAAGCTATTAAGTTAGTTTATATATTTTTTTCCAAGTTAGTCTTTGTCTCATTCCCCCCACCCCTCACCCACCAACACACACTTGTACTTTGCCACAGAGTTATTGCCGTTTAACTCTCATATCTCTGTGACATCAGTTAAACTGAGCAGATGTGTGATTTCCACAGAGATTACATTGTCGTTCTGAATGGGACCTGTGCTGATTTGAGGTGGGCGGTTTGAGGTCAGTGACACCTGTGCACTGAATTGCCGAGTGCAAGCCCAGCAGAGATGCAAGTTCTTTCTTTAAATGTATAAGATTATGTATTCAGTTCTTTTTTAAAAGAAGTGTTTAACAACTGCAGAAATGTTGTTTTAAAACTTTTAAAACACCTCAGTGGTGGTTCTGAGCAAGGCAGTTCTGCAGTACTCTAGGGCACTGCTAATGACAGACTGGCCAGAGTGGCTCAGTACGATTTGGAGAGGCAGACTGGTCTGTTGGAGCAGGGATTCCTCCCACTCGATTCCTGTTAACCTTTCAAGCCAAAGCCATAATGAGTAGGGTGGCCCTAGCTAGACAAGCAGCGAGAAGCTTGCCAGGCAGTGCTCTCAATGGCAGGCTATGCAGTTTTAGCTGGTTAGACTCCAGCAGTATTCCACACACACTTTGGAGTGCCCAAGTATTGGTTCATGTCAGCCTGCGCCAAATAAATTTTGGAATTAGGTAAGTAGGGTGCGTTCCTCCGGGAGAGAGTGGGCATTCCATTTCCAAACACAGGAATTTCCATGTGTAGGTGGCATACATGGTACTCGGTTTGGTTTGGATACTCTTAAGCATGGTGATGGTTATCTGGCCTGTGCCAGATACCCAGCTACCTCCCCAAAAAATAGCTTGCATTTAAATAGCAGGATCCTTCATGTAGGATAACATCTTCAAATGTTGGGGTCAGACATTGAGTTAGGGGAGGTAACAATAGGCATAATTGAAGAGGTGAATATCAGCTGGGCCCAGTGGTAGCACTCTCGCTTCTTGAGTCAGAAGGTTGTGGATTCAAGCCCCATGTCGGGACTTGGAATCACATAGGGTGCAGCACTGGGGGGGTGTGGCATTGTCTGAGGTGCCGTCTTTCGGATGAGACATTAGACCGAGGTCCAGTCTGTCTATTCAGGTGAACGATAAAGATCCTGTGGTACTATTCTCAGTGTTCTGGCCAACAATCCCCCAAATAAAAAAAATTGGTCACTCACCAAATTGGCTGTCACTTTTACCTAAAATATACAGTCACAACAGTGAATCATGTGTCTTGCTTTGGGACGGCCTGGTGTGAAAGTGGCTGTATCAACCACAAAGATTATTATTGAAAATATTACTTTACAGCAATGTTTTGAGTGGTTTGAGAAATTCTCGACACTATGGGTGCTATATGAAATGTAAAGATTTTTGAAAGGTATTTAAAGCATTCCCTGCCGCAGAATCATCGTCTGACTACCAACATTGGGTTCTCACACTATCTCAACAGGGAGTTGTGTCATGCGCAGTGGAGAGTGGGGAGATATCAGACCTTGGGCTGCACTATAATCCAGTCGTCAAAAGATCATCTTAGAATGACTTGATCAATAAATGTGTATTTTTTCATCGGGCTGTTCCTCACTTGATATTTATGGATTTGGTCTCGGCTTCGAATGGTGACCAAGATAGCCTGCCGGGATTAATCGTCTCACAGCCACTTACAACAGAACGACAGAAACCCTGTAGTCGAATGTCTGAGGAGATTTAAAAGTCACGAATCATGTGTTTGACAGACTTGGGGCTATTTTTTTAACTGGTGCTCAGAGGGTTGAGGCAAGTTCTGGCAAAACCTCTTCAATATTAGGCAAGGTCCTGCCAGGGTAAATGGTGAACAATTATTTCCACATGTCAGAGATTCGTAATAATTTAGGATAATCACAAAAGGAATTAAAGGCTAGGGGAAAAAAATCATTACACAGATGGCGGTGGGAATGTGGAATTCTCTGCTACAAAGTGTAGTTGAAAGCGAGTTTGTCAATCCTTTTAAGAGGGAATTAGATGCTTGAAGAGAGGGAATATTAAAGGGTGTAGGGAGCCAGCAGAAGAGTGGGATTAAACTAGACGGCTCAGAAGCAAAACGCCAGAGGAGACTTGATGGGTTGAATGGACAGTTTGTGCCCTGTAATGTTCTGTGGTAATTTTTGCATTTGATATAGTGCCTTGTTATGTGGTTGATACATCTCAAAGCACTTCACAAGATTTTACTGTGTTGGCTGGATTTTGTAGGCAAAGGCGGCAGTTAATTTGTGCACAGCACCATCCAGCACACAGCCATAAGATAAGCGACCAATTTTAGCTACAGGATTGCTGGCCAGGACACTGGGAAAAAATCCCTTTTTTTTTTGAGTAGTGTCTTGGGATCCCTGACAATGCACTGCTCCCCCAGCACTATACTGAGTGCATAAACTGTGAGCTCAAGTCCCTGATGTTGGGCTTGAATGCAAAACTTTTGTGACCAAGGGGTGAGAGTGCAGGTGTCAGGCTGACTGAATCAGGCTGACACCTGCATTTGTGTGTCTGTTTGCACATTGATGTCCCTTCCTGTTATGGGGCAAAGTTTCATTCACTTTTGACAATGATTCCCTTCCTCCACTCTCAAAATTAACCTGGTCACATTTTGTCCTCTGGAGTTGAGGGGAAGGAAATGATCAACAGCTGGGTTTTTTTTAGTGTGTGCGCGTGTTTTTCTCCAACTAGCCACACTATGGAGAAATGGTGAACGATAACAAAAGAAACCAACATATGGCACAGCCAAGCTTGTAGTATGCACTCACACATGCACACACTTACAAACACGTGTCCACTCATGCGCATTTGCACACCGTGCACATGCACACTGAACTGCATTGAATTAAAAACAGATGGCATTGTTTTTGTAATGAGCAAATAAAACTAAATTTGATATAAAAATATTGTGATTAGTAACACTCTGCTGTGAGTCTGTATTGCAGCCTTGTGTATAACAGGACTGATTAAACAGGCCTTTTGCTGGGCCCACACGGAAAAAAACTGTAGCGTGTGATGCCTGTGTGGTGTTAGTGCTAGTTCTGTGCATTGACTTGCTTAAATACGATACAGGCCTCAAACCCAGGATGAAATTACTTTATTGAGGGCAAATTCCTGATGTTTACCAGCACTTGAGGCCACATCTTGTTAAATGGAAATGCACGTGAGCAGAAAAGTGTGTAAAACGAACCAAGCCAGTCACAAATTTGTCTGAAAAACCTTATCGCATCTCCCACCCACATACCTCACTGAGTGCCTTGTGTCAACTAAGTCAGGCCTGCTTAACGCACGCCATCCCTCCATCAGACTTTCAATCCCTGTTCTCTGAAACTCTCCATAAATAGCTCGACTTCGCCCCTTCCCTCTCTGCTTTCAAAACCTTTCTGTGAACGAAGCTGTTTGACCGCACCCTTAGTCACCTGCCTCCTACCTTCCCCTGACTTCCATCTTGCTCGAGCGAGCTCCCACACATCTCTGTGAAGTGCATTGAGATGTTCTCCTACATAAAAGGCCATAAGTGCAAGTTGTATTAAGAGTCTTAAGACGGAATTGTACACACAGGAGAGTGAGCTGACTCATTGCTCACCATAGGTAAAACAGTGTGAGACAAGAAAAACAAGGCAACAGGATGCTGTGCTGTAAGGTCATATTGATTGATTTGAAATCCACAGAAGTCATGTTCAAAGCTCTACAATATTTGAAACATTATTGTAAAATTACGTTACAATTATAGTGCCTTTCAGATCAGTAGGATGGCTCTGGTCATCACATTTCTGCAATGTTATAGGAATGGGCTAGGACTCTTCAGTCTTGAAAAGGACATCTCAGTGGTGTGACTGTGTATATATTTGGGTGAATGTGGCAGCCAATTTTGCGCATGGTAAGAGGTGTGGTGGGTGGGGGAGGAGGGATAGGAAAGAGGTGACTGAAGGTTGCTTGTTAAACTGGTTTTGAAAGTATGGGAGAGTTGGGGGTGTTTGGAGAAATTTGTGGAGCGAGCTCCAGAGAACGGAGTCAAAGTGGCTGAAAACTTGCTTGCCAGTAGTCGGACAATTCCTTCCCAATGGTTCGGACCCGAAACTTTATTCAGCAAACGTTTGTAACCCGTAAACTGATACAACTTGTGTTTTCACCCACAGATCGGGGCCTATTTTAGCAGCATCTTGGCAGAAAAACTTAAACTCAACACATTTCAGGACACAGGGAAGAAGAAACCTCAGGTGAATGCCAAGGACAATTATTGGCTGGTTACCGCCCGCTCCCAGAGTGCAATTCACAACTGGTTCACCGATCTCGCAGGAAATAAGCCTCTGACTGTTCTCGCAAAAAAGGTACGAGTCTTGCTTGTTGCTCCAACTGTTGGCAATATTAGTGGAGGGTGCCCGTCTTTCTCCAACGTCCTTTTGTAACTATTTAACCTAATTCTGACTTTTGAGTCTAGTGACTTGACATGTCAGTAACAAACTTGTCTGAAGTGCCCGTCAGCTGTGAGTGGGATGAGCAATAATCATAATCCTTGCATTTGGTATAGCGTTATCATGTTGGGAGAATATCTCAAAGTTTTGCAGGATTTAACTGTAAAGTGTAGTGACTGTGTATTTGTTCAAGACCTCCTTTGAACCTAGATTGTGGACCTTGGAGAAAAACTCCTGTTAAGTGCCTTGCGATGTTTCAATGCTATAGCTTCTGTATCAATACAAGCATTATAACATTGAAAGTCGTGTTCCTCACATTGTTAGGTATTGAAGTGAAGAAACCACAGGTGTGCTGAAATAGGACACTGAGTTATCTGCTGAGGTCTGCTGAGGTGACTCTGCACAGAACATGAATAACAGATTGCCATTAGCAAAATTCTAGCCTGTAATGATTTTATAATTCAAGGCAAGTTTCAGAGAGTAGAGCTTCAATCATGACAATCCAATTGTCCTTTCAACAAGTAAATAAATTGTACTTTTGGTCTCAACCTGGCTCAGTCTCTGAAAGTTCTAGGTTCAAGCACAACGTCAGGTCTTTGAGCTTGAAGTCCAGCCATCTTTTGGATGAAATGTTGAACAGGTTCCTTAGCATCAATATGTTTCTATTGGTTTGGGAGTCCATATCCGCAGGACATAAATATAAGATAATGACAGGGGATCACAAAGAGAATTTAGGAGGAACTACTGCACACAGAGGGTGGTGAGATTGTGGAATACGCTGCCTGTGGTTGAACCATTGGTGTAGATGCATTCAAGAGGAACCTAGACTTTCACATAAGGAAGAGGTGAATAGAAGGGTATGGAGGGAATAAGGAATGGGTGGAAACTCAGGTGAAGTAATACCACTGGCACAGACTGGTTGGGCTGAGTGACCTGATTCAGTGCTGTACATTCTTTGCAAATCCCATCTCCCCATTCAGATGGATGTTAAAGATCCCATTACACTATCTGAAAAGAGAAGGTAGTTTCTCTCTCCCAGTGTCCTGGCCAACAATCCCCCAAATAAAATTGGTCACTCACTCCGTGGCTGCTTGGGGAATACTGCTGTGTGCAAATTGAGAATTGAGGAATACTGCTGTGTGCAAATTGGCTGCCGAATTCGTCAACGTAGTACATAGTCAGTAAACTTCGCATTTTATCTTGTGAAGCACTTTGAGACGTTTTGATGTCTGAAAAGGCACTATAACAAATGCATAGATTATCCTATTATTTCTGCTCCCTTTACAAAGCTATGTGAACGTTTTATCACAATAAAACGTCTCATTTCTGAATTTAGATTATCTTTCTTTCACCAGATGTTGATTTTCTCTGTCACACTGGGGTGTGACGATTGAGGGATGAAATTTAACAGCGCTTCAATAGCCATTGTCCAGGGCTTCAGGAAAACAAATGTCAACCACTGATTCTTTATCCATTTTTCCAGCAGCGATTGAATTGACTTAAATCCTAACTCCAAGATGTAATCTTTAAAATGCTCATTTAAGGCCGTTCTTTGCCTTGTGCAACTTTGCAGGCTTGACTGTGTTATTGCCCAGTGTGTAAAGTGTACAATGAGCGTAGGGCAGATACTCGGAAAGAGGGAGATGACGTTGTCATCGCTACAACTCGTGGAATCTCACTCTGACTTCATCTTTTCTAGTTGGTGCTTAATGTTTCTTTATTAAACTGACTGCCATACAATTGCCACTTGTTTCCGTCTGCCCCTCACTCTCTCTGCGGATCACAAACTTTTTAGAAGCAGGTTCGGCTGACGAGAGACTTGGGGCAGAGTGTTCTTTCCTCTCCGCTTCCTCTTCTACATCACTGTTTCAGAACCGTGTGTTCCAGAACCGTGTGTGGGGTGAGGGTGGGGTGGGGGTGAATGTTACAATAAAGCTGAGAAATCCCTGGTTTCACAATTTTACTGAAAGTATCAGGGATTTTGCGAATCGCAAATGGCCATGAGGGAGGGTGTGTGGGGGGATGTGATTGCATGACTAAAAAGCTACAATGCAAATACGCCAAGGTCACAGCCAAATGCTAGAACTATTCAAGACTCTCTGAGGAGTGCCAGAAGAAGAGGAAGAGGGCCTATGATAAAGAGGGTTGATGCAAGTCCCATTCTCACGAAAAAGTTTACGTTCAGGGGTCAAGTTGATCTCATTGATATGCAGTCTATGTCGCATTCAAAAAATTCAAGTGGATTACAGTGTAACAGGACCATCTCACCAAGGTCTGTGTACTGAGGCATCTCACAAGAAAGGGTGCTGCACAAGTAGGCTTTCAGCTCATGGATACCTTCCTCCTGCTTGGAGTGCCTGCCATTCTCCAGAGTGATAATGGTTCCGAATTTACAGCCCAGATCATCTCTGAGCTAAAGCAGCTGTGATCTGTGGTCAAACCTCCTTTATTTCACGCCAAGCTTCACCACCCACCATGTCAAGGTTCTGTTGAACGAGCCAACGGTGACATCAAGGATATTTTAGTAGCCTGGCTATCACACAAGATTGGACAGTCGGCGTTAAATTTGTGCAGTTCCAAAAGAACTCTGCTTGCCATTCAAGAATAAATTTCTCCCCTTTTGCTGCCATGTTTGGCAATGAGGCTCATGTTGGCCAAACATCTTCATGACTGCCAACAGAGGTGATTTCTATACTGGAAAGTGAAGCTGATCTCCTGGCTGTTCTTGCTGGTAGTGCTTCAGAAGTACCAGCTGACAACCAACCCTCTACCAGTGCATGTATTTCTCCAGGCTCCAGTGCCACAGATCCACCGCAGCTTAGTCTTGCAGTCTCCATGTCCTCGACGATAGAGATTTCCAGTGATCCTTCCGTATTGACTCCTAGTTCACAGGCCCTGGAAGATTGCATGGCCCAGCTCAGAAGACGGCCCTGCTGCACATGTGGCACAAGTAGCACAGGCAGAAAGGATGGTGAAGCAGAGTTGACTAGATCTCCAAGCCGCGAAGTGGCGGTCCCCATCCCAGCAGTGGACAGGGGTCGAGAGATCTCAAGACCATCATCAACAGAGATATAGACACTGACCAGCACAAGATAGCAGTGAAGGCCAGCATCCTGAGGGGTCACTATTCCAGGAGCCAATTTGACCTCTGCCCACAATGTTTAACAGAGACCCGCGTCAACCAGGAGAAATCGGTGTCACTCCGTGAAGCTATCATTGCACAGTCTGCTTGTGGTGGACAAGGCTTTACGAAGTGTAACTGCAGGGGACAGAAGAAATGTCAGATCAACTGTTGTAAAATGCTTCAAAGCAAAGCTGAAATGTAACTTCTGGTATCATGGAAGTCTCACTTGTGCTAACAAATGAATGTTTGTTATTAATATGCTTTTCTTCAGTCTTTCAGTCCTTCAGTCGCCCTTCCAGCTCTCTGCCTTCCCTTACCCCTGCCCCACACCTCCCCCATGCTCGGGTCCTGACCCCTTACTGTCCAGCGCCTTGGGACGTCCTCCCGACGTGAAAGGCGCTCCATCAATGTAATTTTGCTGTTGTTGTTCTTTACAGAATCAAGTTTAACTGTTCACATAGGCATGACAAATCCAATGCTTCACTTTCTTCAGTAAATAAATTTTTCAAGTGAAATTCTTCATCGGTGAATGAAATGTCACATGAAGTCTTATGGTGAATAAAATAGTGATTTTCATAATGCGTTAATTATTTGTTGATCATGCTAACAAGTGTCAAGGCAAGGTTATCAATATGATGAAATATAATTTCATGAAATCCCTGACTCCTAATTTCAGTGATTTCATGATTTTAGAGTATTTTAGAGATTTCATGAAGTTCCTGAATGAAATAGTAATTTCATGAAAGCACTGAAAATTTCAGGGCTTTCGCAAAACCCCTGGACTTGCAATTTTGCTGTAACAAATACACACTTTGAATGCATGTCAGTACCCGTGCACATATGTGTGTTAACATGTGTGTGCTACTACCTGTACATTAGTATGTGTGGGTAAGGGGGGGGGGGGTGGTAAGAGAGATGGCTGTGGCCACTTTGCTCAGAATTGAGGCTTTCTGGTATGTAACAGACTGTGATGTTTTGTGCTCTTGTATTCAGGTGCCCATCCTCAGTAAGAAGGAGGAAGTCTTTGCTTACTTGGCTAAGTATTCCGTGCCGTTATTGAGGGCAGCATGGCTGATCAAGATGACGTGTGCTTACTACGCTGCTATTTCTGAAGCCAAGATTAAGAAACGACAGGCCATAGACCCAAACCTTGGTAAGTACATTGCTTTCTTTTACAATGTTATCTTCTATTCAGTAACTGATTATTGAGACTGTATGTCATTGGGCTCGGGGGAGAAATCACCCCTCTCCTTGATGCTGATCCGTTAAGATTGTTTTGAACAACAGTTTATCATCTCGGTGGATAAAATTTCCATATCCGTGATCCATTCTGTCCCTTAAAATGCGTTTTGAAAGAATTTGGAATAAAGGTAGCGACCAAGACTGGCTCAAAATGCTCAGCTGTTATCTTCCATTGGCCAGTCTCCTGGCTTTGGGATGGGACTGCCTTATGTTTCACTTATGGGTTTGGTAAAGCTGTGATTTTGAGGAAGTTGCCTAAGCACAGTGAATCACTTGGTGACTCTCCTGATAGCAAACCTTGATCGGGAGTGAAAGCGAAAGCTCTGCGCCTTCCACCCTGGCACTGAGGTCTGAATATACACTCAGTAAGCATGTTGCATCATAAAAAAGCGAAAATACTGCAGATGCTGGAAATGTAAAATCAAAACAGAAGCTGCTGGGAATACACAGCAGGTCAGGCAGCATCTATGGAGAGAGCAAAAGGCGTTAACATTTCAGGTGGATGACCTTTTGTCAGAACCGATGAAAGACCATCGACCTGAAATGTTAACTCATTTTCCTCTCTCCATAGATACTGCCTGACAATGTTGCATCATAATTGATATGGATACTATCTCTTTTTTGGATCAGTTTGAGATGCTGCCCCATGTAAAAGGCTCTATATAAATGCATGTTGTTGTCTAACATATGGATGATAGCCTTGCTCAGTCGATAGAATTTGCTTCGGAGTCAGAAGGTTGTTAGTTCAAGCCCCATATCAGGCACTTGCACAGCACACGAGAAGTGACGTCAGCGTCAGCTGGTTTTCGTTAGCTGTTTATTTGGAGACAAACTGACTATGAACTTCTCGATGCTTTAATGTGTAGACGATAGGGTGGGGAATCTGGAAAGATAATAATCATTGTGGTTGATATAGCAATTTTCATGTCGGGAGGACATCTCTAAGTGCTTCATGAGATTTTATTGTAGTAATTGTTTATTTGGAGACAAACACAGCAGCCAGTTTTGAGTATAGCAATGTTGAACAAACAGCCAAGATCAATTTGGGGGATTGTTGGCCAAAAAACTGGAAGAAACTCCCTTCTCTTTTCGAATAAAGCAACTTAATGGTGACAGTGGGGTGGGTATTCAGGAATGATGAGATCATACGGGCTGAAGGACCTTCTATATTGAATTATTTTTCAGGTCATCCTTTTGTCATTTATACTATTCATACAGATTCCCCACTTGTAAAAGTCTGTGCCTCTGTTGAATCCATATTTCATAGAATTGCCAATACAATACATTTATACAGACCCTTTCACGTCAAGATGATAACCCAAGAAGCATTCACATGGCTGGGTGGAAGCTGGGGGTTGGTGGAGCAGGGAAAGGTAACCAAAAGAGCAGTCAAAGAGGTACATTTTAAGATGTGCCTTGAAATATTCTATAAATACATGGGATTAAACTAAGATGATGGCAATATATTTATTTCAAGATCACCAATATTTTAAAATCGAAGTGCCTTCCTGATAATGTGACCTACTTTTGTAATCAGCTGAAATTTTTTCAGTTGCGGTTTTGATTTTTGGAGTTTTTAAACATTTTGCCAATTCTGTTATTTTACCCAGAGAGGAAGCTATTTTAAGATTCCCTTTTTTTTTAATGTTCTGACTTGGCTCTCAATTATTGGCTGCGGGTAACCTCACTGAGGGAGTTAGTAATCTCTGTATAATTAAGTGCTCGCTGTGTTGAAATCAAAGCTGGAGGTGGATGTCTGCTTGTTACCCTGGCCGTGGGAACTAGCTGGGGATTTTAATGCTGAGCATGTGGTAAATTGCACAGTCTCATTGCCAGAGAACGGCCCTATGTGGAGGAAATTACACCAGGGTCTAAATTTATTCTATTTTCTTTACGATTCAGTAATACATAAAAATCTAACAGCACCTTCTGTGCTGAAATATATCATGATTTCTGCATCACCTTTGAGACGAGTATTAAATATTTAAGAAAATGGGATAGAACCCATGTTCTCGCCTCAAAGGTTTTCCTCGCTTCCAAACACAGAGTCACTAAACTTCACAGTAAATCCTGTGAGGTGCTTTGAGATGCAAGGATTGTTATTATTATTTCAGAGCATCCAGATATTTGGAAACTTGTTGAATTCAATCTTAGAAGCGAGGTTTCTGCAGTGCTTAAAAAGAAGCTGGCAGAAAACTGGCTTCAAATTCAAAGCTGCGTTTAAGTATTTGCAAAGTTCTGGACAATCCGAATGCCAACAAAATAATAATAATCCTTACATTTGATATACTGCAGCGTTTCTCATGTCAGGGGGTATTTCACAGGATTTACTGGAAAATGCATTGACTGTGTTTTTGAAGGCGAGTAAAATCTAGACCCAAACGGAATTTGTACTCCCATGTTCTTAAATATTCAATACTCACCTTAAAGGTGATGCACATATCATAAATCATAAAATCTTTCCGCACAGGAGGGAGACTATTCATTCCTGTGCCACCAGTCTGTGACAACCATCTGTTTAGTCCCTTTCCCACGCCCCATTCTTTTTTTATTTTCAAATATCTAATTCCTTTTTAAATCTAATTCTCTTCTGCTTTAACCACTGCTTATAGTCAGGTATTCCATATCAGTGTTAAAAAAATAATATTACTAACCTCTTCCTTTCAATGCTTTTTCTTGTGACGATCTTAAATTGCCTTCATATATCAACTCACTGACCAGTGGACATTAGTTTCTCCCCTATTTCACCCAAGCAAATCACTTTGTTGGGTTATAACACATCTTATCAGGTCTCTTCCCAACCTTCTGTCCTAAGTGAAAACAGTCCAATTTATCAGTCTGTCCTCCTAGGCCAAGCTTTTCATCCTTCTCACCCTGGTGAACCTTACTCTTTATAATAATAATAGCAATAATCTGTGCATTTGATTTATAGCACCTTATCATGTCTTCGAGGCTTTTCAAAGTGCTTCACAGAATATATTGTAAAATGAATTGACCGTACATTTTGTGGGCGAAATGTGACAGCCAATTGTGCACAGCAGTGTCCCACAAACAGTTGCGGATTGAGCGAGCAAATTATTATTATTTATTTTATTTATAGCCTTGGCAGCCTGTCTGACATGGGCAGAGCAGGACAATTGGATTCTAACTGGCCAACTTTTTAATAGATTAAAAAGATCAGCCTGTCAGAGCTGCAAACCTGAAACAAACTCTGAAAACGTTGGAAATCCCCAAGAGGTTCAGTTGACATCTGAAAGAGATAACTTATGTGAATTCTGATGAAGGGTAACACCCTGCCTGTTTATCTTTCTCTCTGAGATGCTGATTGACCTGCACTAGATTTTCAACTTTTTCTGTGTTTTTTATAATTTTTTTTAAAAAGAAATTGTGTTTTTAATTGTAGTTTCACTTCCTTTTCTGAAGCAGTGTTGTGATCAGGATGAAAAGTCCATCCGGGTTCCGATTTCACCTTTCTCTCGGGAATGGCACTGTGTCTCGGGGAGAGATGGGCTGCACAGGATTTACTGTGAGGTGCAATGAATGTAGTTCACCCCAGACTCCTCATCAATTGTGTCTTTCCTGATTCAAAACCCCCCTCAAAGAAGTAGTTCTTTTAATGCTTTTGCTATTTTTAATTTTCCCTTGTTTTCATCTCCTTCCAAATGCTGCTCCCACTGCATCTGGTTAAATATCAGGCAAGAGATAGTAACATAGGAGCAGTTCTTTCAGTCTATAATGAATAGGTCTAATTCTGCCCCTCCCAACATACCCCAGTAATGTGAAAGGTGCTATATAAATGCAATTTGTTGTTGTTATAACGGGATCTTATTCTGTGGTCCCAGTGTACCCTATGATAATTCTGTGGCCACTAGCGATAAAACATAACAAGATTTGGTCAATGTTATTAACCTACTTTGTAAACGTTACTCCTTTTCTGAGCAGTGCATGGTTTACGATGAGCGCTAACACAGTGTACAATGACCAAGCATCTCTGTGACCTGTTTACAATGACTCTCATGTGCCTGATGTTGGTCTGATTTACCCACAGAGTGGACTCAGATTCTGACCAGATACCTGCGAGAACAGCTGGCCAAAGTGGCGGAGTGTTACCATGGGACCTCCGGCCAGGGAGCTGCGTCTGCAACAGTGCCTCCAGAGGTGGAACAAGCAATAAAACAGTGGGAGTACAACGAAAAGCTGGCGTTTTACATGTTTCAGGTACTGGTCAAAAATATGTCCAATAATTACACTCGCCATCCAAGTCTTCCTTCCTAATCATTATGTTGTGCACTGGATTAACCTAATACTAATGATAACAATCCTTGCATTGGATTTCCCATTGGGAGGACGTCTCAAAAGTGCTTCACAGGATTTACTGTAAAGTGTAGTGACTGTGTGTTTGTGGGTGAACGTGACAGCAATGTCCCACAAACGGATGTGAAAATGAGTGACTGATTTTATCCGGAGGATTGCTGGCCAGGACATCACGAGAAACTCTCTTCTCTTTTCGAAAAGTGGCACGGGTTTTTTAATGTCTAGCTGATGTCCAGGTAGATGGGACCTCGGTCTCATCCAAAGCCTGGCTCCTACTGACAATGCAACAACCCCCAGCCCTGCAATGGTGTGTCAGTCTAGCCTGTGAATTCAAAATCCCAAGGTGGGGCTTGAACCCACACCCTTCTGACTCCAGAGACGAGAGTGCTACCAATTGAGCCAAACTGACAGTGTAGAGTTATTTACCAACTACATTAGTATTTCCTGGTCCTGGGTATCGGAGGGCAGCCAGTCCATATGGAGCCACACCTCAGCTAGAAAACAAAAACAGAAGTTACTGGAAACACTCAGCAGGTCAGGCAGCATCTATGGAGAAAGGAAAGTGAGTCAATGTTTCGTGTCCAAGACCCTCAGCTAGAATCTGTGTGTGTGGAGAGGAGGCGGGGCTGGAGCGCAGGTATACTGGAAACCCATTTCAGGATCTTGGTGTTTCTGGGTAGAAACATTCCTCGACCATATACGTGGCATGTTATTTCAATGACTTATATTCCCTCATTGTTATTTTAATATTCTCTGCATTTGGAACAGAGCCTATCATGTTGAAAAGTCTCAACACCAACAACAAAATGACATTTTTATAGTGCCTTTCACGTCGGGAGGATGTCTTCAAAGTATTTTACAGGAAATTTCTGTAAAGTGAAGTAAGTGACTGTATTTGTAGTCAAATCCGGTATTCAATTTGTACACAGCAGTGTCTCCGATAAAGCCACAAAGTGAATGACCAATTTAACTGGGGGATTGTTGGCCAAGACACTGGGAGAAAATTTATTCTCTTTACAAAGAGTGCCATGGGGTTGTTCTGCTTCAACCGTCGTTCCAGGTCAGACATTTCATGTTCATCTTCTGGGTAAAACGATCTCTTATTCTGTCCCTTATGAATCTGAGAGCTATGTACAGCCCAGGCTCTCTGAGTGGTGTCTGAAGGCTTGTGAGGCAGTGCTTTAGTTTGGTTGTGTGGGGACAAGAGGGAGGGAGTCCAGGTGCTGTAAAGGAAGGGCGATATGGGCTGACCTGATATTGGGGCCAATCTGGCATTGACTTCATCAGCTGTATGGATGGTTGGGCCTAATCAGCACAGCAAGTAAACGTTGCAGTTTGATTTAACGGGTGAAATATAGCTCAGTAAACCACAAAGAATTACCATAGGCAAGATTCCGGAGCTTTAAACTGTTTACAATTATCTCGTGACACTGCCGACTGGTGTGATCTTTCAGGGTGAAATGACTGTAGCTTCTCAGTGAGTGGAAACTTGCACCTGGACAGCAAGTTCCTCTTTTCATGATGAAACCGTTACAAAGAGTTGTCATTAATCTCCTTTCTGCGTGTGTATTTATTTCAGTTTGTTTATTTTGGGCAAAGTAGATTTGTTTAAACTGTATAAGCTGTTGACCTCATTGTGGCTGGAGGTGGGTTGGGAGGGCAGGGTGGGGGGAGAGACAGAGAGATATATAGAGAGAGGAGTAGCTAACAGGTTACTGACTGACAGCATGGACAAACTGAATTAACATAATTGTATTGGTCTCTCTCTGCGACTGTCACTTTAGTGCACATATTCTGCTACCCCACTACTATAGGCACACGTGTTCGTATCTGAATTTCTTCCAATTATCCTGAGCAAACTGTAATAAGCATCAAGACAAGTGAGGCTCTAACCCCCTTTCCCCACCACCAACACATATTTATTAGTTTTCAGAGCTGTGGTGATGCTGCTTGCCACTTGGTGCTCTGGCCTTTGGAGCATTGGACAGTGAATTGGAAGTTCTGTCTGACCCTGATTTAATAATAATCATCAACTTTGCAATGACGTGATAAGGCGCTATATCAAATGCAATGTCTCAAAATATACGCAGAATATACTGTGAAGTATATTGAACTGTGAACTTATCAAATGCAAGGATAAAAAAAAAGTGGATTGACTGTATTTTGTGGGTGAAACATGCAGCCAATTGCACACGGCAGTGTCTCACAAACAGTCGCAGATTAAGTAACCAATTTTTTGAGCGATTAATATAAGAACTGCACTGGAACATGGTGTTCTTGTGTATCTGTGCTGGGGTTTGAGGGTGGGTGACCTCTAGAAAGTCATCCAGGTGGCCTCATTGAAGTGCAAGCCTAAACAGAGAGGCATTGCAGCCCTCAGCGAACAGGAGCTTCACTGCCTCATCTGCTCATTAATCAATTGTGTAGTATGTTTACCTAGCCGTAAGGAGGAACCCAGTTGTTAAGTCGATTGGCAGATTGCTTTCCTGGTAAAACTATCTCCAAAAAGAAACATTTGGTCATTCAATCACGACTGTTTATTGGACACATTTGTGTGCAATTGGCTGACATGTTACGCCCACAAAATACACAGTGAATCAACTGTACAATATATTCTGTGAAGCGCTTTGAGATGATTCAAAGATGTGATAAGGCACAATATCAAATGCAAGGATTATTATTATTGACGAGAATGGAAGCACGGAATTTTTATCCATGACATTGTACTCCAGAAAAGTTATTTGAGTTGTGTAAAAGTCCAGTCAGTGATGGATCAAATGTGATCGAAACTGTCTGGATTTTTATTTTTATTACAAAAATTACAACCTCAGAGATAACAGGATATCCAATTCTACCTTTTGGCTTTCTATGGACAAAACTACGGGACACTGCTTTGCGCAATTGGCTGCCGCGTTTTGCCCACAAATATACAGTCAAATTCACTTTACAGTCTATTCTGTGAAGTGCTTTGAGACGTTGAGACGACGTGAAAAAGGGCTATATCAAATGCAAGGATTATTATATATTATATAAAATATAAAATGTGTGATCTCTCCAGTAAGTTGCTTTGTACACTGCAGCGGTAACCCGTGTTGTGTTTTGCTTGTATTGGACTTCAGGATGGGTTGTTGGAAAGACATGAATACTTGACCTGGATTCTGGACGTCTTGGAAAAGGTCCGACCAGCAGATGATGAACTACTTAAACTCTTATTGCCACTAATGCTACAGGTAAGCAGAAAGTTTCAATTTCATCGGCTTTTGGTTTTGTCAAGTGGAAATTTCCCTCTTTGCTCCAACCCCAGCATTCCTGCTGCCGAACTGTAGACAAACTCTTAACTAAAATGCTGATAGTGTGTGATTGTTCCAGTCTATTTTCAGTGTGGGTAGGGAGAACGCTGGTATTGAAAGACCCGAATTTTGGGAGTAACCTGTAAGGATTGGAATTGTGATGGTGCTGTGTTTTGCAGAGGGAGTGAAAGTGTGGATGATTATTACGTGCTGGGAGTTGAGTGCTGCTGAATCCTGGATGGGCTGTGCTTTATGGCATGGAGTGGTAGCTCTGAGAGACTGGGTTCAGAGAGCTTTTTAATATATTTCTGCAACCTGCATCGCAATGAGAGTGCTTTCAGGTTGGGTACCTGCAACCACAGACCACCAGAAAATTCGTCAAATTCTGAGCTTAAAAAATCATATTCTACGTTTTTATTTAACCGCTTCATCCTTGTCAAAACAACATATTTATTTATTATAATCCTCTCTTTTGGTTTTTTAAAAAAAAGGAGAAAAAGAAATGCTTTAAAGGTTCCTTATTTATCCCTTGCTTTCCATATTTTATATTAATCCTCCTTCCTAAATGTCACGATTCCCTGTTGATGTTGGAGACCTTCCCTTCCAGATGCGAGTTACATTCGTTTTTTTCCCACATAAAAAGCTTTGATGAACCGTAGGGAGAGAACCAGCCCATATTGGTTGCCTCTTGGAGGAATTGGAACCATGGTATCAAAACGGGAGGGTGCGAGCTCATAGGGCTTTTCAGCATATCCCTGGGACCTGTATCCCATCCCGTCTGGTTTTAGGATGGACTTCCCACAACCACGGACAGCGAGAAAATTCATCGAATTTGCAGTCACAGACTCTGGTTAATCAGGGCCTTGAGCTCAGTTCCTGGGTTAAGGCCTCATTAACCCAACCTCACAATCCCTGTTTGTGATCATTGCCGGTGACTACCCTCTCTTTTATTTTTCAGTACTCGGAGGAGTTTGTGCAGTCAGCCTACTTGTCTCGTCGCCTTGCTTACTTCTGTGCCAGACGGCTTTCTGTGCTTCTGAGTGAAAGCTCCTCGAACCTTGTTCCTGCACATTCACCTCATATGATTGTTGGACCAAATAACCCTCCTCTGGCTGCTCCCAGCCCCGCTGCTCCGGCTGCAGTCGTTAGCCCAACGCAGTCAGCTGCCTCCGACCTCCAGTCGTGTTCACAGCATCGTCCTTTGGTTTATGGCCTCAGTTGCATGTTGCAGGTGGGTGCTCACTGTTCTGTGTCAGATGTGACCCTCCAGGCACTGGCTCCCAAAGCTTCGCGGATCTCTAAATAATGCTCCCCACTTCCCCCACCCCCATTCCCCCTCCTGCTGACGCATCCCTTGCGAGTAAATTAAGTAAAACCACAGGGATCCGAGTAGATGGAAATGCATTTATACTGCTTGCTTGATGATGAAGTTTTGGCAGCTCAGAGACAGAGTAAATCTCGCCACAGATACACAATCGTTATCAGGAGAAACCTCTTGCACGTTCACAGTAAGTTTANTTTTTAGTGTGGGAAATATTAAGGAGCTGTCCTCTTCAAGGAGAATTAATCCCAGCCTCTCCAGTCTCTCCACATAGTTGTAGTCCTTCATCTCTGGTATAATTCTTGTAAATCGTCTCTGTACCCTCACCAAGCCCTGACATAGTCACTCCATTTCTGTGAAGCGCTTTGGCACTTCATTATTATTGTAATTGTGCAATGAAAACTGGAGGTGGAGGGAGCAAGGTCTAAATAAAATCTTACTGGAGCGCAGAGCGATGTACCTCAGTGTGAGCGGATCTCGTAGAGGAGCCAACACTATGTGTGGACATGGCCAGCCGTTGAAACTTTATTATTTACCTGGAATTAAAAAGATAAAAGAATCAATCGAGAGAGACACAGACTTGGGTCGTAGTGGTATTGAGGGATGTGACGAAAGGTTGGGATATTGTGACAAGTTCTAATAAATTGGTGGAACAAACCTGATGGGCTGGAAGACTTCCTCGTATGACTGTTTTCCTATGTTCCCAAGTGCCACGTATCATTAAGAGGTTACTGCCAGCAGGTGATTTGTGATAGAAGGAGGGATTAGAGACACAGACTTGACTTGCTGTTTCTCCGGTCCGGGGTAGGGGAGAGGACACTCCAGAGAGAATAAACACTGAGGTGAGTTGAGTTGCTGTTTCTCTGGAAAGGAGAGAATAAGAGTAAACACTGAAGGGAGATGAAGGCAAATTACATTTTTAATGTTTGTAGGACACTTATTGTAAGATCTGTCCAAAACTCTTCCCTGCTTTCACTCTGTTTTCACAGATTTGGTTATAGACTGAACAGTAACCATAAGTGTTGCATCTGGATGGTCCACAGAAAAACGGTCTAAAAATTGAGTTTACTTTGTTGTGTCATTCTCGGCTGTCCAATTTCACATTCTGATCATGTGGGAGTGAGAGTATGTGAGTGTCACTCCCATGTGGTTATAGAACGGGAGGGGTGAGCAGCGATTGAGTTCTCAGTGTAGTGTATGTCTTGAATAAATAATAACGCAAGTACCTGTTTTTTAGATGGCTGTTTTGCGTAAAAAAAAGTTTCCTCTAACTCTTGAAAAGAGAAGTTTCAGAGGGGGTGTATATGATAAAGGTGTATAAGATGCTCAGTGGATAGAGAAAGTAAACCCAGGCAAGAGGTGACAGGTTCCGGGGGTGAAGAGCAAGTTTAAGATGGGCATCAGGAAGCATTTCTTTCCACAGTGAGTAATCAACAGCTGGACTGGATTACCAGGAAGGGTGGTTGAGGCCAGTTGCTGGCATAGGATCCATCACAACGAGGCATAGCCTTAAAATTGGCACTTGGACAATTAAAACTGAGATCAGAAACAAAACTGATAATAATAATCCATATATTTGATCTAGCGCCTTATCATGTTGTCGAAACGTCTCAAAGCACTTCACAGGATTTACTGTTAAGTGAAATGAGTGTATATTTTATGGGCGAACGTGGCAGCCAATTTGCAAGAATGTCCCAGAGACAGCCATGAATTAAGTGACCAATTTTATTTGGCGGATTGTTGGTCAGGACACAGGAAGAACATCCCTTCTCTTTTCGAATAGTGCCCTGGGATCTTTAACATCCATTTAATAGGTGACCTTGGTTTAATGTCTCCAAAGGATGGAACCTTGAACATTGCATCACTACATTTAAGTGTCAGCTCAAAGTCCCAAAGTGAGGCTTAAAGCCAGAGCTTTCTAACTCGAGTCGAGATTGCTATCAACTGAGCCAGGCTGGCGCTTGACTGCTCATTGTATGGCCATCTCCCTTTACGCAGTTCATGTTCTTACTAACTTGTGCACAGCCCTGCTTTAATGTCATTTTATTACGTAAAGTTCAGTTTCAAAATTAAAATACAAATCTTTGGCAATCCCGGAGTAGAATTTGGATTTTCTATATGGGAAAGATTATCTCTGTGCGTTTACTGCTGCTGAATCAGGTTATGAGTCCCTTGGTTTCTGTTGGGTTTCGCTCTGGATGAAGTAATGTAATTCTTGTAGGATTTGTGCTCATTATATCTGGTTATGTCCTGCCCAGGGCAAGGCTCTTGTGAGATTTATGGGGCAAATAGTCTTGCGGATTATCTCGGTACATATTCTTTTCTGAAGTGACGAAAGTTCAAACTAATCCTCTTACACTGGGCAGTCAGGCCATGGTTGCGCTTATTAATTCCAGCAGGACTGGGCTAGATGTCAGTCTACTCTTCTGCAGCATGCAGCTGTCTAGTAAAGTTATTAATAATTTAGGATTGCTGAATGGAACTGTCTGTGAGGAAAGCATGAACCAGTCTAGATTAGCTCTTTTTTTTTTCCTGCTTTGCTGTGTTCTCTGACCTGCTAGGACTATAACCACCTCGACTCGTCCCACTGGGACGTCTCTCTGACGGTCCTGAGGACAGGTGTGCTTCCCTGCCCAAGGCTTCTCCAGCCCACTGGGAAGAGCTGAGCAGTCTCCCCACTGCGACACCACTCTTTGATCAGTTTGAACACATGGGTCGATTCAACGCTGAAGATTTGCACTGCAGACAAATGGCAAAAGTGCTGCAATTGATTTTTTTTGTGACCAGAGATGAGGCTTTACAATTTAAACCCAGAACTGCTGCAGCAAATGTCATTGGATTGTATTCCACTTGCTCTAGAGTGCCCTTTAAAATGATGTTTAGTTTGAAACCAGCGCATCTGTATTAACGGAGCGATCTCTGTTATATATAACACAGTGCTTTCAGATCCACAAAATTAGACATAACCTTTAAAGGGCCTGTGAAAAACAATGTCTGTCTGTCCCACTTCCGGCTCATTGGATTGCAGCTCATGTCACTTCCTGCGCAGATTGGTTGGCTTCCTGCACATGCTAGCCAGTGCACAACGTAAATTGATATAACCACCGGTCCATGTTAAAAGAAAACTTGCGCTTTGGCCAAGGTACTTAAGAATGGGGTCTCCCTGTATCCTCTTGTTGCTTGAAGGATTTCCTAGGAGCTTGATTTTATCTTGGAGTTTCTTTTGGGATTAATTGGATTAGCATATTCGGCAGAAGGGTATTAGAGGACGTTGGAAAAAGCATCCAATCGGATTGTGGAATGATGGTTTCATTGGAAGAAAAGAAATCAGGATTTGGAACTCATAAAATGTGAGCTGACACTCTCATGCAGCGCTGGGGGTATGCTGCATTGTTGGAGATGCCGTCATTCGGATGCGACATTAAGCCGACGTCCCATGCGCTTGCTCAGGTTAAAGGTTGAAGATCCCATGGCATACATCGAAAAAGAAGCGATTTCTCCTGGTGTTCTGGCCAACAAGACGCCAAATAAAATTGGTCACTCACTTCATGGCTGTTAGTAGGACATTGCTGTGTGTAAATTGGCGGTCACGTTAATTTGCAAAAATGCGCAGTCCATGCATTTCATACGTAAACATATATGGCCGATAGAAATGTATTTGAATTAAAACAGGCACGGCTAACATTTCTGAATCTCTACACCTCAGTAATTTTGCAGCAAACGAATGTCAGCAGCACTGGCCAGTGTAGGTGAGGCGAGCCTTCAAGTATAAGTTCACATCAGCACACATTTTCTATTGAGCTCGATGTGCCCTGAGTTTATATAAACTTTGTCAACTCCATTAAACTTGCACAGAACATATATGGTACAGCAATTGTTTCAGACCATAATCTGCTGCTGGTATGTCTCCGTACATTATAAACAGCACACTGCTTTTATTGTTCCTGATACCTAGCGGGAAGTTTGACAGTGTTCACAATGGTAATCTGCATGGTTTTAGCTAGTTAAACTCCCAGCAGTCATTCCCCCAATGCACGCTTTAGCGTCCATGATTTGGCTCTAGCCAAATCTTGGGATTAGCTGAGCAGGGTGTGTTCCTCTGGGGAGAGAGTGTGCACAAATCTCTGTACATACGTGGAATTCTCGGTTCTACATCCGCGGAACATGCTTTATCAGATTCCTTCGTGCTCTTCAAGTCGCCTGGTCCCATTCCGAGATTTGGATGTCACTCGAGCCAACATTTTGAGAGTGCGTGGTCTTTGGGGCACATTGAAAACTGAAAACCATTCAACACTGCAATACATTTATACTGCACCTTTCATGTTAGAAGGACATCTCAAAGCGTTTGCTGGCTGGGCACCTGAGCTCGGGTTGGGAGCAGAAGGAGGCTGGGGAGGGGAGAGATGAACAAAATCTTGGACAAGCACTTGAATAACCACAAGGAATAACCTCCATATGTGTCTCGGTTTTAACTGTACTAATCAAAATATATTTCACCTCGAAACACAGACATTACACTTTGCATTAGTAAATCCTGTGAATCATTTGAGATGTCCTCACGAGGTGAAAGGCGCTGTATCAAATGCAAGGATTCTTGTTATTAAATCTTGATTTTTAGAACATTCTCATTAAGGCTATGACGATTTTGAAAGCACCCTTGAAAATGTCATCTATTAAAGTGTCCTTAACCTGGCAGCCACCGTAATCATTTCCTGCCCAGTACCAAGCAGCCCACCTTATATAATAATAATAACGTGAATATGTATATATAGCCTTTCATGTGAAGGAGAGATAAACACATCAAAGAGACCATTCCACCTTCAGAAACCTAAACTGTCCCCTTACCACTCCACAATCTATTGCAGTAAATCTCAGCTCTTCACAACGTGATGCCATTCTTACTCCAAAATGAAATAAAGTGTTTCTGGAGACGCAGTGCGGATTGTCAGCTGCTCCAATGTCGCTGATAATTCCTCTTTCTGTGCACAGACCAAGCTGGTATTTCAAGCGGGATGTTAATGGTGCGAGCACTCGAAAGAGTCAGCAATCAATCAATGTTTGGCACACATTTTCATCTGCATAATGCTAATTAGTGTTTGTTATGACTGGGGCAGATGTTAGGCACAGTTTCTGTGTTAACTGCCTTAGCTTTTACCTTTCGTAGATAATAACAACTTGTACTTATACATCACCTTTCATGTCAGGAAAGTCTCAAAATGCTTCAGCGAGCTGGGGTCTGAGACTGGGGTGGGGAAGTGGGTTGGGGTGGGGGAAAGTGGGTTGGGATGTTGCCAAAAGTGCAGTCAAGGTTTTTTTACATGGGTTCTCAAAGCGAAGAGGAAATGAATGATGGATGTAGCAAGAGAATTCCAGAGAGCATGTCCACCGAGAAGGGGCCAGGGATGTGTGTGTCTAATGTATTAATTATTGTATGAATTACCTGTTCTCAATGCGGTGTTCTGAAGCTGGGTTGCATTTGTCATCCGGCTTGTGGCTCACGGTTTTACTGAAGAATTCCACCCCATTCCCAATTGACTGGGGGCCAGTTAGACCTGTGCCCTGGAGGACAAGTGCATGACCCAGCTTCAGGTTGTCTGGGGAGAGAAAACGGGTGTGAGGGCACCTCCAGTAGGAGCAGAGGTGAGCAGATGTACTGATTCTGGAGTCCCCGATATGGGGCTTGAACCCCCAGTCTCTGAGCCCGAGGTGAGAGCATTGCCCACTGAGCCAAGTCGATACCTTGTACAGTGTGTGCCACTTAGAAGTTGGTAATGGCTGAAGTTCGGAATCATCTTAATTGGGTGAGGAAGGAGACCAGCGGACCTTCCTCCCCACCACTCCCTCGGCCAGTATGCTGCGTATGAGTTAAGAGTCGCTTGTAACTCATTGCAGTGTCTCTAGATACAGTATATCCATGGGTTAGCCATTATCTGTCCGATGTGCATGCGCACAGGAAGCTAAGTAAACATTTGTCACTTCTTCCCACAGACAGTAACTTTATGTTGCCCCAGTGCCTTGGTGTGGAATTACTCCACGAACGAAAGCAAAACCAGTAATCCTGGCTCACCTCTTGACCTGCTTCAGGTGGCTCCATCCTGTTTACCCATGCCAGGGGGAAACTCCACCTTCAATCAGCAGGTAAGCTCTGGGGCTTGGCATTGCGGTATTCCCTTATTCTGTGCCGCTCGTGTATACTGAATAGCAATGCTCTCCCACAGAAAAGGCTAGATACAAGGGGGTAGAATCGTAAATGGAATAGAGCAAATAAACCCAGCACCATGCTGCCAAGGTGGCAAGGAGATGGGTTTAGAGTTTCAACGGATAATGTTTTTTTTCAGCCAGGGTTGGTAGACGTCTAAGGTGAGAGGGTTGAGTTTTAACATAGTTTTATGATCTCATCTCTAGCCAGCGTAGCTCTAGTTTGAAGATCGTTCTCCCTCTCCTCCCTTCCTTGATTTGCATCCGGAGTGAAGTCATCTAGTATTTGGCGTGGTGGCCATGGGGATTGGGGGGGGTGTTGTGTGTGTGAGATGGAGAGGGATCAGGGCTGGACACACACAGTGATGTTGCCGTCTGCTACATTCCTAGTCCAGGAAGAGCACCTTCTGCCACACTTGCCAGCAAAGCTGAAACACTCTCTTAACATTCCAGGTTCGAGCCAAAATTTACGAGGTGGAACAACAGATCAAGCAGCGAGGTCGCGCTGTGGAAGTCCGGTGGTCCTTTGACAAATGTCAGGAATCCACTGCAGGTAAAATTGCGTAAGGCACCAGCCTTGAGGAGAGGAGCAGAGGAGCTCAATGGGTTGATGCCATGACACTTGTCAGATGGTCACAATTTGTAAGCAATTGCTCTCAGCTGCTGTCAGCAATCTCTTTGCAACCTTGCCTATTGGTGTTGTTTTGGCTTCTTTGTTGCTTGCTCACAGAACGGCCAGGGGATGAGTTTCTAACTTAAACTGGGTTCTTATTTGGGAACCCCAAAAGGTGCAAAGTTACAAAAAAAAAACCCAGCACCCCACAACTGTGCGTTCTGCTCGTCAGAATTATTTTCCCTTGGTGTCTTTCAGAAACCGTTGACCATCGAGTCAAGCGAAGGGCTGACGTGAGCGCTCGCTTATCTCTTTGTCAATGCTGTTGTGAAAATGTAGATTAAACCCCAATATTTCAGTGTGTATTGTACTCCAGAGATGTAACAGCTGGTTAGTAAATCAGGAGCTCACAAAGCGTGATCAGAATCTGGAACACACGGCCCCAGAGAGCCAGAGGCATTTGAAGGACGTAAGAGAGAGAGAGAGATGGAGTGAGTCGTGGGGAGTAAAAGTGTTATAGAACATGCGGAGAGGTTGGATTAGTGTAGTGTACGTGTAGTGTACGTGGACCATAGAATGGTCCTTGACACCGATGGACTAATAGTCTTCTGTTCCTAATGCCCCCACACTCTGGAATTCTTGCTTCCTCCCATGCCTCCTTCAAGGCCGGTCTCAAGACCCTCCTCTTCGCTCGTGCCTTCAGTCACCCTCCCACCTCTCTGCCTTCCCTCATCCGTATCCCACCCCCTCCCCCATGCTCGGGTCCTGACCCCTGACTGTCCAGCGCCTTGGGATGTCCTCCCGATGTGAAAAGCGCTCTATAAGTGTAATATTGTTGTTGGTGTTGTATGTTATTCACAGTCTTATACAAAGCTGAACAAACATTGCAGTTATGGGATGCTGAATTACTTTTGTTTAAAATAAAGAGCCTATGCAAAGTGGGGGGTGTTGTGCAGAGAGCATTTGAAGTGGCCTTTTCTACTCACAGGAATTCCTGTGGTGTTAGGTGTAAATGTGGCTCTGTGATGTGGCTTTTTACACCTGGAGGTAACTTTTGCTCTCAAGGTTTCTTCCTTTTTTTTGGCATCTTTACCCTTTGAGTTCCAGTGATGGTGAATTTAAAACTAAACGTAATAATAATAATCCTTGCATTTGATATAGCGCTTTTCACGTCGGGAGGACGTCCCAAAACGCTTCACAGAACACACTGTAAAGTGAATTGACTGTATATTTGTGGGCGAACGCGGCAGCCAATTGCACACAGCAATGTCCCACAAACAGTCGTAGATTGAAAATGACCAATTTTATTTTTGGTTTTGGAGGGATTATTATTAGGCTCTGTGTGGAGTAAGGAAACTTGCCCAAGGTTTCGCCCTCTGCCTGGAATTGAACTCAGGTCTCTCACTTGCAAAGCGAGTGCTCTAACCACTGAGCTACAGGACTCCCTAAATATAATACTTGCATTTGATATGGTAACTTTCAGAACGAAAGGGTCTCAAAGCACTCCACAGGATTTACTATGAAGTGTAGTAACTTTGTATATGTAGGTGAACGCCGCAGCCACTTTGCACACAGCAATGTCCCACAAACAGCTGTGAAGTGAATTTTTTTTAATTGAGGAATTATCGGCCAGGAGAAACTTCCTTTTCTTTTCCAATAGTGCCAAGGGATGTTTAGCATCCATCTAAACAGGCAGACGGGACCTCAGTTTAGAATTTCATCCCAAGGACAGAACCTCTGACAGTGCAGCTCTTCCCCCAGCACTTGCGTAATTAACACAAAACTATGAATTCAAAATCCTGACATGGGGCTTGAAACCACAGCCTTCTGACTCAGACTCTGCATTCTATCAGTGCTGTATGCAGTTGGCTGCGTGTTTTGCCCACAAAATACACAGTCCCTACGCTTTACAGTATGTCCTGTGAAGCGCTTTGAAAAGTCTTGAAGACGAGATGAGGCACTAAATCAAATGCAAGGATTATTATTATTATTTGATATATCGTTTAATCAAGGCAGTGGTAATCAGTGATAGTATGACACTGTTGTACCGCTGTTCGGCAAATGGACTCGCAGTCTATGGAAGCGCGTTACACTTGGCTGGCTTCCTGAGCAGCACGCAGGCGTAGAGAGTCTCCCGGGGTTAGCCTCGACACCAGCTGATGGTTTCCGCACGAGTACGCAGTGCACACTCTATATCAGGCAAGTGGAAAGTTCCGCATATGTGGACCTCTCAGTGGTTTGGGTTTGGGACTGAAGCCACTGTAAGCAAAGCAGTGTGACATAGAGAGAGGTCTTCAACTGCAGCCTATTTGAAATGATCGACTGGTCTCAAAGGGCTGCGATTTGAAATCCTACCCTTTGCGGGGAATGATTGTGTTCAGACATTTGAGTGCAGTTGGTGGAACTGGATCTCTCTGATGTGAGGGAGTTGAATTACTATCAGAAGAGTAGGCATTAGACTGAGAATAATTAACAAACACATCATTTGAACTGTGTAGATTAATATTGTTTACTGCTGAAATTGGGCAGTTATATCCCTGCTGTTCTTCCAAACTTATTTCTTTGTTAAAGTCACCAATATCATCACATGAAAAAAACACAGGCAAGATTATTGAAGTTGATTTGAATCATTTGAGCTTTGTACTTTATGCTGTATCCAACTTGGCTGCTGTGTTTGCCCACAAATACTCAGTCACCCCACTTCACATCAAATCCTGTGAAGTGCTTTGGGACTTCTTCATGACGTGAAAGGCACTATACCAAATGCAAGGACTATTATTATTATTATTATTCAAAATTATATTTTTAGAGATCTTGGGGTAGAAGAGTTCCACCTGGGTTTAGATTCACTCTATTAACATTTCAGAACCTTCCGAATTTGGCAATTTCTTAAATTTTTTGTAAAGACTTTTTTGTAAAAATATTTTGATACCAATAGAAAAACAGCTTCAAAGGTGAAACTGAATTTCAGAATTTGTCAAATTCTGCTCCGAAATGCCAAGAAAATAGAGTAAATCTAGAGTCAGAAAATACATCACCAGATACACACGGTCACATCACTTACAGTATAACCTGTAAAACACATGTTTTGATGATGTGATAAGGCGCTATATCAAATGCAAAGATTATTATGATTACCTAATTCTGGAGAGCTTTAAGGGCAGGTTGGATACAACACTGGCTTTGTGAGTGCCTCAGATTGGGTACTTCTAGAGGATAACCAGCTAAAACTGCATAGTTTGCCATTGAGCGATTCCTGCTTGTCTTGCCAGGACCACTCAACTGATTAGGGCTTTGGCTTCCAAGTTAACAGGAAGAGTAGGAAGAATCCCTGTCCTCAGTGACTGGTCTGCATCTTTATGTCCTACCTATCAGCAGGGCCAAGTATGTCACCTTGCAGCCAGTTTAAGTCCAAGGAGACCCTGCTTACTCTCCCCCAACCCACACCCCCGCCACTGCACCTCCAAGATGTCATGTTGGAGTGGTGTGGTGGAATAGCTCACTGACTATCTATTGATGCTCAATGCTGTGGCAGAAAATGTGCAGTTGGACGAGATATCTAAGCCTTTCAGCATCTGTCACCTCCTTTAGGAGAAGTGAAGATTTTTGCATGGAGCAACAAAGTTCACACATAAGTGTAGAACCACACTTCACCAGAAGATGGAACTATAGGGTTGTGTTGCGGTGGGAGTCTCGGCATCACTTTTTATTCAGAACATTAGAACAAAAGAATTTGACGTACAAAGAGTTCTGTCACCTGTGCAAATGAATAGCTCTTTCCCAGCACAGGCACGATAAATAACAATTAATGATAATCCTTGCATTTGATATAACTCCTTCTCGTCTGGAAGACGTCTCAAAGGGCTTCATTAGCATTTACTGTAAAGCTTAGTCATTGTGTAATTTGTGGATGCCTGGCATATTGGAAAGAAAATCTTTTTGTACACAAAAAAATTCAATTGTGAATTGTTTGGAGTCAAGATTGAAGATTTCTCTGATTGTTAGTAACTTTACCCACGGAAGAGAATCTAATGCTCTCACACTAAAGACGTTAACTGCATTAATTGCCTCTCATGAGCTTAATGATAAGTGAGTTACTTATTATCTTATGGGTCCTGTTCGTTGTTGAACCAAGGAGGTAGCTGACAACGGTGTCCTCGGATGGCTGGACACAGAAATTTCAAGTGTTTGAGTGGCTTCAGATAATCTCAGCTCACGAAAAGATCAAGCGGGGTGGAAAAGTGAGAGACCAGGGAAGGTCTCAGCCTGACTCAGTCACTAGTTCTGTTGCCTCTGGTTCATGCCCCATGTCGGGACTTTGAATTCCAGTGCAGTGCTGCAGTTGTGCTGCATTGTCAGAAGAGATATTAACCAATGGAAGAGACGTTTTACCTGTTTAGGTCAACGAGGTCCTATTTGCCTTTACAGGGGGAAATAAAATAGCCTGGCTTAGTCCGTAGCCTCTTTCGTTTCAAAATATGTGGGTTCAAACCCCAACTTTGGACTTTGATTCATAGCCTATACAGGCACTCCAAGACAATGCATTGTCAGAGGGGCTGACCTTTGGATGAGACGTCAAATTAAGGTCCCCTCTACCTGGACGTTAAAGATCCCATGGCTCTGTTCAAAAAAAAAAGGTTGCTTCTCTCATTGTCCTGGCCAACAAACCCCCAAACAAAATTGATTGTTCACTTCATAGCTCTACGCATAACAGTTGCTACATTCTCATAAGCAGCTGTGAGCTGAGATTTTGGAAACGTTTCTCTTGCTAAATATAAGATTAGCAGATTTAGTAACGGAAATCTTTTACCTCCTTTTCTGTGGCTAAAGGTTTTACAATCAGTAAAGTTTTGCACACATTGGAAGTGCTGGATCGACACTGTTTTGACAGATCAGACTCCAGCAACTCCCTCGATACCCTCTATCACAAGATCTTTGGGCCAAGCCAGAGCAAGGACAGCCAGGAGGTGAGTGGTGTGACCTAAGTTCCTCCCATACAAAGCCAGTTACTTCCATGCAGCCATGGACAATAGAGTCTATGAGTAAGATTGGAAATAACTCAGCAAAATAGCTCTTTCAAGAAAATACTTCTTGTGTTTTTGCCTCTCTGTCTTAGTTTGGTGTGGTAGTAATAGTAGGTGAGGGGAAGAACATTTAATATTCAGGAAGTGAAGGTATAATAGCTGAAGATTCATTGTAGTGTCTCCCCGGATAGTGTCAACGTCGCTCAGTCACTAGCATTCTCACCCCGGAGTCAGAAGGTTATTCAATCAAGTCCTACGTTTGGGCTCTGAGCTCTTCTACTCATTGCTGGGGGAAGGACCACAATGTCAGAGGTGCCATCCCTCAAGATATGTTAAATCATCGGTCTGTCTGCTTGTTTGGGGGGGAGTGGGGAGGCAGAAGATGTTAAGAGGATCTCATGATGCTATTGGAAAAGAGAAGGGAGTTTCTCTCTTTCTCTTGCAGTGTCCCGGCCAAGAATTCCCCAAATAAAATTGATCATTCTGTTTGATTGTTTGTTGAACTTTGCTGTGTGCAAATTGGCAAATACATACACTCTATAGGAGTTCCCTGTGAATCGCTTTGAGACATTTTGATGCCAGATCAAATGCATGGCTTATATTATATTGATCAAGTCTGCACTGAAATGTTTCAAAGAAATATGCAGATTGCAGAAGACTGCAGAGAGAATCCCAAAGTTTTCTTTTAAAAGTACATTAAATATCAGCTTGTAATGAAATCTAAAAATTTTTGTGTGAGACATTTCCAGCTTCCTTTATCTTCCCACTTATGTGTGTAATTGAGAACCCTTTTCCTGAATGGTTTGGTTCAGTACCCCTCTTCTCCCTGGAGACCTGTCTTCAGTTCAATTCTTGTTTTAATCTGTTGCTTTCTCTCCTCCTCTCCTGCTTCCCCTAATTACTCTCTGGTGAATGCACAACTATGTTTTGCATAGGTGCACACATCAAGAAACTCTGCTCACCCTTCCCAAGCTATTAGATCATATCTTCTCCTCCTCCACCACAAACTGTTTACTCTGTTTTGGGTTCGGTTAAACACTGCCAAGCTACTAGCAGTCCAATAACACAATATGAGAAAATAATCATCCTTGCATTTGATATGGCACTTTTCCCATTGGGAGGATATCTAAAAGCACTTCATTGGATTTACTATGAGGTTTAGTAGCTTTATATTTTGTGGGGGAACCTGGCAGCCAAATTGCCCACAGCAATGTCTCACAAACAGCTGTGGAACTAGTGACCAATTTTATTCGGGAGATTGTTAGCCAGAACTCTGGGAGAGAGAAACTTCTTTCTTTTTTCCAAAGGTGTATCTTTAACGTCAACCTCAACAGGCACAGTCGGGACCTCAATGTAATGTCTTTTTGGGGTGGCATCATGAACAATGCAGTGCTCCCCAATGCTGCACTGCAATGTCAGCATTAAACTATGAGCTCAAGGTCAAGCGTGGAATCAATTTTGAATTCACTCCCTTGTGTCTTTCAATCTCTGACTAGCGGAGAGAGATTATTTTTGTAATTAATTATTTCACTTAATGTTCACCTGAATCCCAAGGCTAACTTAATGACCAAAGTTTATGATGTGAGCTCCTTGATTTAGATGATTCCCAATTAGCTGCTCTTTTCTGTATTGCCCTAAAAATACATGAGCGAGAAGGAGAGTCTGCTGTACACCAACCCCCCACCCCACACATATTCCACAGGCAAAATACTCTCCAGATAAATTGGTCATTCATTACATGGCGGTTTGTGGGATATTGCTGCAAATTGGCTATTGCATTCAATTACAAATAACATCCCAAGATGTGTATTCTGTTACACCTCCATTGCCATCGGTGGCATGTGGTAGATTAGACCCTGACTTCCAGTGTTGTCTGTTAAGATGCGAGTGAAATACAACGTTGACCTGTGTGGGGCTTTCTTCTCTCCCTGCCTCTGGCAGCAGATTGCACCGAATGATGAGGCGGTGGTGACCCTGCTCTGTGAGTGGGCAGTGAGCTGCCAGCGCTCAGGCAAACACAGAGCCATGGCAGTCGCTAAGCTCCTGGAGAAACGGCAGGTGGAGATCGAGGCAGAGGTGAGCGTTTCATTTTGCATTTACTCTGATGGATGCTTGGGAAAGCCCAATAAGAACTCGCTTCTCTGAAATAGAGTGTCAACCTGGTGTCAACAGGTGTCAGCCTGGCTCACTGCTAACACTCTCCCCTTGGAGTCCAAAGGTTGTGGGTTCAGGGCCCCAAGTAAGGATCTTTGAGCTCGGAGTCGAGCCTGACACTCCAGCAAATTGTTAGAGGTGCTATTCTTTGAACAATGCTCCCTTGTGTATTAATGTGGAGGTTAAAGATCCCTAGACGCTATTGGAAAAGAGAAGAGGGTTTGTCCCGGTAGCCTAGCCGAGAATCTACTAGCTAGATTGGCCATTCACTTTATGGTTGTTGTTTAGCTGCCTTCTGCGCTGCCCAATCAATAACCCTTTCTACAAAAATTTGGAGGATTAGTGTGAATTTTCCCATTTCCCACCCGGTCCTGAAATAGACCAAGCTTGTGCATGTTTGTGCTGTAACCTTGTACTCCTGTGGAATTGGATTACACAATTAGATCCAAAAACCAGTAGAAAGCGTGCGCGCTGAATTCACACTCAGAAAGCATAGGAGGAAGGACAATGTGCAAAATCAGTGCACACCCAGTCTTTCCAGTGGGACTCAATCCGGTAGCCTGAAATATTTAATGGCAACTCGTGGGAACTTTGCTGTCAAAGCTCACGTCAGTGCAAAGTTCTCGTGTGACCTCTTTCCTTTCGTAACTACTTTGTACAGTACTGTATTGGATCCCAAATATTATGGGAAAGGGGAGAATGTCAAGTCAATGTGGGCTCTTGGTGCCTTTGACAGCAGCTTTAGCTCAGGAGCCTGCAGTGAGCATGGGTTTGGTTCGGTAGGAAGTGGATTTTGCTGATCCGATGGGTTGCTAACGGTTCCCTTTGTTTGAAGCGTTGCGGCGAATCCGAAGTCTTAGATGAGAAGGAATCCATCTCGTCTGCGTCGCTGACTGGCTCGAGCCTTCCAGTTTTTCAAAATATCCTCCTCAGGTTTTTGGACACCCAAGCTCCTGTATTAAGTGAGTGTGATTTATTACTGTATTAACTGCCATTTTGCTTTCTTCTCCTGTTTGTTTGGGGGCTCCCCAAAGCTCTTGTACAGTGAGAGTTGAGCATGTGGAGCTGAGAGCCCACGAGTTAGTGAAGGTGGGCGGTTTTTGCCAAATTCTACAGGGAGTGGATTTGATTGTTTAGGTGAAAGACGATGTAACTGAGATGGCACTTGTTGAACTTGGGGCGTTGGACGTGCGGGAACGATGATGCTGGGTGGGAGCCATGTTGATAAGGATTGGGTGGGCCTGGAGTGGTAAATGTGGACCAGACAAAATGTGGTAACTGTGGACCTGATGTGTGGGGTTACATTGGTGAACTTTCTTGGTATCTTGTGGTGCTGTTCAGTGCCTGGAGAGCTGAGCGCATACTTTGGATCTTAACGCTTAACCATCGCCTATTATTTATGCGCCCGTAGCTGAGCCCAACAATGAGAATGAACGAGCGGAGTTTGTGAAGCTGGTGCTGCTGTTCTGCGAATTCATCCGACATGATGTCTTCTCACACGATGCGTACATGTGCACACTGATATCCCGGGGGGATCTCACCTCCATCAGCGCCACGGCTCGACCACGCTCACCGACTGCCGACAATGTGGAGGAGCACTACAGCAAGGAGCAGGAAGAGAGCCATCATGGTATTAAACTGGAGGTAAGGCCGGGAGCTGGAGCCAAGTAACTGTTAGGATACAAGATCAAAAGAGAGGCTCAGGCGATGAAAACCTTTGTCCCATTAGATTTCATCTTTCCAGAATGCCACACCCCTACCGTCACAGCATTGAGCTGTTTCTTCAATGAGTCCAGTGTCCTGACCTCAACCACCCTTCCTGGTATTCTGTTCCAGTTGTTGATTACCTTCTGTATGAGGAAATATTTCCTGGACTCTGCCCTGAAAACTCTCTTCATAGCTTTGTACTTTTGCCTCTTGTTCTGCTGCGTTGCCTTGTACTGAATCACTCCCCTGGCAACCTGGCTCGACTTTGAGCTTATAGTCTAGGCTGACAATCCAGTGCAGTGCTGTGAGGTAGAGAGAGAAATTGGCTGTCATCTGAATCCTGTGATACAATTTTCAAAATAGTGGTGAGCCCAAATCCCGCGTTTCCTTGTTCATTCTCGAGTCCTTGGAGTCATTGAGATTAAGAGGTAAAGATTGGTTGTTTTACGTAGGCAAACAGGAGGCCATTCATCCCATCAGGCCTGTTCCTCCAGTTTAATAATTCTTGTCACGTGTGTTCACCTCAATGCTCTACCCTTTTGTCATACCTCTTAGTAATAAGTAATAAGAATAATCCTTGCATTTAATGCAATCTCTTTATCATTTCATCAAGAAGTCTCAAACACTTAATAATAATAATCCTTGCATTTGATATAGCGCTTTTCATGTCTTCTAGACGTCCCAAAGCGCTTCACAGAATATACTGTAAAGTGAATTGATTGTATATTTGTGAGCGAACATGGCAGCCAATTGCGCACAGCAATGACCCACAAACAGTCATGGATTGAAAATGACCAATTTTATTATTTTTTTGTGTTTTTTGGAGGGATTATTATTAGGGGTGTGGAGTAAGGAAACTTGCCCAAGGTTTCGCCCTGCCTAGAACTGAACTCAGGTCTCTCACTTGCAAAGCGAGTGCTCTAACCACTGAGCTACAGGACTCCACATGGATATACTGTATATACAGAATACACTGCAAAGTGTAGTGACTGTATTTTTTGGTGAATATGGCAGCCAATTTGCACATAGTAAAGTCCCAAACAGACATGAAGTGAAAGACCAATTTTATTTGGGGGATTGTTGGCCAGAACACTGGGAGAAACCCCTCTCTGTTTTTGACTTTCATGGGATCTTTAACATTCACCTGATCAGGCAGATGGGGCCTTGGTTTAATATCTCAAACGAAGGATGACACCAGGAACCCTAGAACCAGGACTTAGTAACTTCAGTTCAGGTTTGTTCATTGGAAAGTGTGGTGACAGCCTTCGTGTGCTGATGGATGAAGCCAGGGTCCATGCGAGATAGCAGGTCAGTCCCAGTCTATCAATCCACAGGAGTATAAACCAATGTGATGTTCCCATTCCAGGAGCAGGGGCTGGGAGAGCACATGGACATGGACTCAGGACCCACAAATCTATTTGACGAAGTGGACAAGAATGATTTCAAAGCAGACTTTGGGCCAGAGTTTGCAGTGAGTTGAATGTTTTCTTTTGAAGGATCCAATCTCTCCGGTATGATGATTGTGTTTCATGTCTGACATTCTTTCCTTGGGTTTCGTGAAATTCTCAGCAGTACTCCAGGGCACTGCTGATAACATTACAGCCATCATCATTTTGACTTTTTTCTGCTTTTTCTTTTAATCTGTTTTTTTAATTTTAAAAAAATTATCTTAATTTATTTTTAATTTGTTTGCTCATCGGCAGAATGGTCTTGGAAGGGAAGACCAGTCACTGGGGGCAGGGAATTCTTCTGCACAGCTGCTGTTAGCCCTGCAAGCAAGATCCTAATGGGTATGGTGGTCTTAGCTGGGACAAGCAGCGGGAAAACAGATAGGGCTATCAATGGCAAGCTGTGTGGTTTTAGCTAGTTAGACACTCCAACACACATTCTGGGATCCCCAAGCCTTGGCTCTTCCAACCTGCGCCTATTACTTTCTGGAATTAAGTAAGCTTAAGATGCTTCCCTCCGGAGGGAAAGAGCACATTCCACTCCAACAATCTACCTTTAGAATTTCCATGTGTAGGTGGAATCATGGAATTCTCAGTTTGACTTGGATATTGTTAAGCGTGTGATGGGTTTCCGTAAGTATCGGACACCCGGCTGAACAAAAAAAATCCACTTGCCGCAACAGTGAACATAGGAACAGTAGGAGGCCGTTCAGCCCTTCGAGCCCCTTCTGCCATTTAATTAGATCATGGCTGATCTGTACCTTAACTAATCCTTTCAATTCTAATTTCCTGCTTTCTCCCCATATCTCTAAATATCCCAACCTACCAAAAATCTTCCAACCTCACTCTGGAAAGTATGAATGGATCCAGCATCCATGGCCTTTTGGGGCAGAGAATTCCAGATTTCTACCGCCCTTTGAGTGAAAAAAATGCTTCTTGATTTCACTCTTAAATGGCCTGGTTCTAATCTTAATACCATGCCCCCTTGTTTGCATTGTTTGCAACAGGGGCATTGTTGCTTTCATTAATCTGTCAATGCCCCAGTGGTTTAAAATGTTTCAACATTTACGCCTTAAAATCTTTCTTAGTGACATCATTTGTTTGCAGATTTTCTCCCCAATGCCTGGGGAGCCCTTGACCTGTGAGCACAATGCAAACCCGTCTCTGGATCAAAGTGGCACGAAAGACGAAAAACCAATCAGGAAAGAGAAGCAGAAAGAGCTGATCTTCCCGTGCACTTACGAACAACCTCGCCATCTGCAGTACGCCACGCACTTCCCTATCCCCCAGGTAAGAGCGTTCACAAAGCAACTCAATGGAGCAGAGCTTCCCTTGCCAGTGAGGGCTAAGAGCAACTAGCAACAAGGCATGTTTCTCAATCTCTTGGAACCAATATCAACCTTTCAGGCGATGGCACGATGGTTGAGTTAAGTTCGATGCAAAGTTTTCTAAAAGAAAAAAAAGTTTCTCCTGTGGGGCTAAAAGAATGGCGGTGTGACTTGGTTGAGTTTTGCATGTCACCGAGTGTGCTAGTTCTGAAGAGGACTGTGACATTGCAGTCAAGTTCTCACGCTTTAGTGGGTTTTCGGTCTCAGTGACGGTCTTTGGTTGAAGACCAAGCGGCATTTTGGCAAGTGGTCTGAATTTGGAAACTGATTTTCTGCAGGTTCACCTTTTGGTTCTGTGGGAAATGGGCTTCTAATTGTACCCAACTTGGTTACAAAACAAAAATCTTAAATCTTCACAACAATCAACATAAAACACCCCAGGAGTCATTAATTGCTTTTACACCAGTCATTAACTCCAATGTCAGTGCAATGCAGTCTTAAGCTGAAATGAAGGCTCGGTGTGGTTTCAGTGCCTCAGATCTAAGATCTGAGATCTGCTTTGCCACGATTTATGTCTCAGTGGATCTGTTTCAACAGCGACCCGTTGAGCTACGTTTTGGTAAAAAAGAACTCTTTCTCATTGTGTTGCAACATCCAATATTGGAAATAGAAGAAAAATAAGAAATCAGAACTCTGATGTTAGATGATTGCGCGGAATGAAAGCTGAATGAAAGTTAAACAGCAAAAAATAAAATATCAAAAGTTACAACACTGATTTTAAATGTTTAATTAAAAACTCTATTTCTGTATTTCAGTGGTTCAGGGTTAAATTTCAGTAGTTAATCTACTGTCCCTTTATTGTTGCATTTCTAATGTCCATGCATAGTGGACTGGTTACAAAATATGCAGATAAATATACACATAAAATACACAGATATTTTCAGATGCAATCTGTTTAGGCAGGCATTTCTTTAGGCCTGTCAAACTCTGAGGATTCATCCATTACATTGGTTTTAATATTGTGCAAGAACAGTGGTTTGGGTTTGACGGTTTATTACAGAGCTGCACTGTATAAACTAACCAGTAATAACTGGAACTATTTTCATTGTTCCTGCCTTGAATAACAAAATGAATTGCATGAGATGAACCTCAATCCAGTATCACTCATTAGTCGATCTGCAAATCGCATGTATTAATCACCAGAAGACTGACCAGTTATCAGATGTGTATGTGTGTGATGTTTGGCCACTATCTGTTTTTTGGTTCCAAGCTCCCAACCAGAATGTGATGGCTGACTAGATGAGGAGCGCTATATAAATGCAAGTTGTTGTTGTTGTGGCCTGACCATAGTGTAATCGGTCATCATTCCAGAATACTCCTTCCATCAAGGCAGTGCCATGGGACGTTCTCCCGATATGTGCCTTGTTGTTGTTGTGGTTTGACCATAGTGTAATTTGTCGTAAACTCACAACTCTTTATCAATGCAGTTTGATTACAAATATCTAACATTGCCAGGCAGCACTGAGCAATGGAATAAATTAAAAAGACATTCACGTACATGGCACATTAATGGACAGCAAAATGCTTTCAAAACCATGCAGCACTTTTACAAGAATAGAACAAAAGATCAGTTCAGATGAAGAAGGCCCTTTAGTCATGATTCCAGAATACCCTTCCATCATCCCATTCCAGGCATCGAGCTGTTTCTTAAATAAATCCCAGTGTCTTGCCCTCAACCGCCCTTCCTGGTAGCCCCATTCCAGCTGTTGATTCCTCTCTGTGTAAAGAAACTTTTCTGGTTTTGTGAAATTGATCCTGAAGAACAGTAGCTCTTATATTAGTTTAAGCTTGTCCATGTGCCTGGAACCAGCATAGTCTGGGCTCTGTTTATTGAGTTTAATGTTTATCATACCAGGTACAGGAATGGTTGAGTACATGTTAATATTTTATTGGCAGTGTATGCAATGTAAACCATTTCTAGTGAATCAGTAGCTTCAGTTGGAAACACAAGGCGACATTACTAATAAATAGAGTCTTAGTTGCAAAGCTTTCCAGATACCTGCTATATTGTTTGAACAATGTGCAAGCAGGTATCCTTCCTAATTGTACACTGTTAAGTTGGGCTTGATCCCTCTTCAACTGCGATTTTCTTCTGGCTTCTGGTGGCTTTCGATGACCCAAACGTTTCTGTAATTTTCGATCGGAATGATTTACAGAGGTAGAAGTAAAGAATGGGGTCAAAGCACAGATTGAGGACGGCTAAGAGCAGGGTGGATTCCTTTGCCAGGAAGAGGGATCGCTGGAGAGCGCAGTTTTTGACTGGCTTGTACTGGCTGAGCGTGTAAGGGGTTCGAACTATATGATACGGAACAAAGCAGATGATGTACATTGCAGTCAGTATGAAAATGTGCCTCAGGCTTTGCCTGACGTCTCTCTGAACTTCCGGGCCCTTGTTTGCGTAGAGTTTTTTCACCAACAGAAAGTTTGAGGTTAAGATCATCACCGATGCGTTCATGAATATGGCCATGCAGATGAAGTTGGTGAGAACATGCCAGTGCAGACCCAATGTCGTCTTGATCTCAGCGCACCCCAGGAGGGGCTTTTGGTCAATGGTTTTGGTGGGGATTACCATATTGGGGACCATCAGGAACAGAACCACACACCATATGGCCACAGAGATCATTTTGGCAAACCCGGGCTCCTGAATGCGTTGGAATCTTAAGCTGCCCGACAACTGTATGTAGCGGTCCATGCTAACGAAACCCAGGAATATAATGGAGGAATACATATTGATGTAGATGAGGCAGGCTGTGAATTGGCAGTGGAAGATCTTCAAACTCCAGGGAGCAATGCCCAGATCCACAGCTATTTTGAAAGGCAGAGCTAAGGTGAGGAGGAAGTCTGCCGTTAGTAGGTTGAGCAGGAAGATGTTGAGACTCTTCCTGGACTTCCTTTGGCTGATGAATGCCCAAAGTGCTACGAAGCTCCCAATGATGCCGATCAGAAAGATCAGGTAATAGAAGTAAGTGAAGGCTTCCATCTGGTTGTTAATTACGCACGGAGCGACTGAGGTATTGGAGGAATCAGAGGTCATTATTCTGGACTGTTGTTTTTTTCTTATGTTTAACCAAATGATTTGTCAAGGCCTAGAAAGAGAGGAGGAAAATAATTATAAAATGCAAATAAATTGCAGAGTTTTATTTGTTAAATCATACTCGTCGTGAAATCCCCTCGGGCTTTCCTAAATCCATCTATGAGTCAGAGCTATTAGTCTGTGCAGTTAATTGTAGGAAAAGTTACCATTGAAAGTGAAACTCAGGTACCACAAAGAAACTAACTTATTGATAGAGCTGGAGTGAGGCACACACTGACACACAGAGCTGGAGTGAGGCACACACCGACACACAGAGCTGGAGTGAGGCACACACCGAGAGCTGGAGTGAGGCACACACCGAGAGCTGGAGTGAGGCACACACCGAGAGCTGGAGTGAGGCACACACCGAGAGCTGGAGTGAGGCACACACCGAGAGCTGGAGTGAGGCACACACCGAGAGCTGGAGTGAGGCACACACCGAGAGCTGGAGTGAGGCACACACCGAGAGCTGGAGTGAGGCACACACCGAGAGCTGGAGTGAGGCACACACCGAGAGCTGGAGTGAGGCACACACCGAGAGCTGGAGTGAGGCACACACCGAGAGCTGGAGTGAGGCACACACCGAGAGCTGGAGTGAGGCACACACCGAGAGCTGGAGTGAGGCACACACCGAGAGCTGGAGTGAGGCACACACCGAGAGCTGGAGTGAGGCACACACCGAGAGCTGGAGTGAGGCACACACCGAGAGCTGGAGTGAGGCACACACCGAGAGCTGGAGTGAGGCACACACCGAGAGCTGGAGTGAGGCACACACTGACACACTGACTGACTCACGGACAGACTTCTCAAACTTGCTGCTTGTAACCGTACATCACAGCCACAAGCTTGCTGAAGTGTCTGATATCTCTGCTGCCATTTTCTGAAAGTGTGGTGAAGGAAGCGGACTGTGAAGACGTGCTCTCGACTTTGTTTAAAAGGAAACAGCTTGATAGGAAATGGTTGACGGCATCTAACGGAGGACTTTCTGGTCAATCTATTAGAAGTTAAATGCCGCTTTCCAAACCTCCCTTGGTTATTGACGGGAACTTTTACGCACAAACCACATTGTACATTCCCAGCTGCACTGCTCTCCACTGCCCTGAATTTCCCTCATTAGTCACTCGCCCCCATTAGCATATTTCTTTCAGTTTTACTTGGAGCACAAACCCACTCTTGTGGTCGGTAAGACCCAACTCTCTGCCTGATACTGACCACTTTGATCTTATCCTCCTGTTGAAAGGTGTCGGAATGACCAAGATGATTTCTGTTGGGTTCCTGATGCTCTTTTCTGTGTCACTGTGAATCCTGAGGACACTGGCCCCTGGTACCTTGTTTATACCGTGACCAGCACCTGCTTCTGATAATGGCTTTATTCTCTTCCCCCAGAACACTTTTTGCCAATTATGACTCTGGGGCTTTGGTCAGTCAATCCTCGACTGCCCTTTGGGCTTTTATCTCGTTCTAAGAATGAGTTTCCTTTTTAAAAAAGAACCTCTTCCACGAGCCCTTCAAATGCTTGTGCCTGCAGAGCGACGAACAGTGAGATAGATCCAGGTTGGGAGCTGTGTGAGGGCCAGAATGAGGAAGTCAAATTGAGCAGATTTTAGATCAGTTCTGCGATAGCGGTTACAGAGCAAACTAACCAACACATACAGGTGTCTGGTTACATGTCTCTAAGAGTGATATGCAGACCATTTGCCGCCGCTGTTTGTTCGCTGTTTTTTTTGTTGATCTCTGAAATCTTTTAATGCTGAACACGTTAGTTTTTTTAAAAAAAAACACACCTAAAATTGTTCTCAAAGTCCAGCATTCAGTTACGTACAGTACAAACCGGAGTTAAATGCTACGCTCCTCACTTTGGAGTGAGGATCTGCCTTTAGCATCGGCCTGAAAATGCATTTTAGCTTTAGAACGTATCTTGTTTCAGTTCTCATCAATTTGCAGGCAGGCCTGCTCTTTTAATTTTCATTTTCATTCTTTCATTTCCACTACCACACAACCTCATCCACACCCGCAGGAAAGCTTTGCACTGTCAGCCTCCCTGATGCACAACCCTCACAGCTATCACAACATGCTTCAATGCACTAACCTTCGTTTCACACCGATGAATAAGATTTTTCTTTAGCAAACATTTAAATCTAGAAAAATGCTGAGCGTAAGAATCGTGATAAAGGAACTGCACAAACACCTGAGAAGTAAAAGGATTAATGGACGTTGGGAAAAAGATGAAGGTAGGATTAATAAAAAAAGGCATATCTAGAGAAGGCCCGATCCTGTGCTGAAAAATTCTACGTTTCTAAATTGGGGGGAAACAGTTTAAAGTTAAAATCTATCGCACTTTTGCTGCGTCTGCTTTTGAGTGTCCACAGATTGCTGTCAGGACTTAGCTCCGAGATTGACAGCCTTTGCTAGCCAATCTGGGAGCACGAGCTGTACCAATACAGCTCACAGTTAGTTTGGCACTTTGCTTGAACATGCTTGTTGCTGCTTGCCATCTCTGTTAGCTGAATTTAGAGAAAAGGGTAATGGATATAATAATAATAATCTTTGCATTTGATATAGCGCTTTTCACATCTTCTAGACGTCCCAAAGCGCTTCACAGAATATATTGTAAAGTGAATTGACTATATTTGTGGGCGAAACGCGGCAGCCAATTGCACACAGCAGCGTCCCACAAACAGTCGTGGATTGAGTGATCAAATTATTATTGGTTTTTTTAGGGATTATTATCCCTGGAAAAGCGAATCTGCCAATTGACTAACAACTGGGTTCCTTACTGCTAGGTAAACAGAGGCTTGTGGAGTAAGGACACTTAGCCAACATTTCGCCCTGCTGGGAATCAAACCCAGGTCTCTCGCTTGCGAGGCGAGTGCTCTGACCACTAAGCTACAGGATTCCACATATATGAAAAATTACAGACTTACCCGATCAACACAAAGGCATTTTTTTGTTCTCTCCTGGGTCAGAAGGGTGTGTGTCGTCCTGGGTGCTGGCAGTCAGCAGGGTGAGTGAGCGAGTGTGAGAATGAGCAGTGGGTGTGCTGTGCACAGCTGCATTGCACGCCTATTTGATTGTCTCTGCTTTGCTCAGGTTTTCCTTTCTTACAGAAGCCATTTTGAGGTGGGAAGTGTGGTTTCGTCTACGTCAATCCACTCCCTTAAATCGTGCAGAGAGTCACAGAATGAGCAGGCTGATAAGGTGGCCCTGGTAACGCAATAAACCGTCACACTACTGACGCACGTAATCGCTTAAAACTGCTTTTTTTTATATAAAAAGAAAGTCCGTTCAAAAGGAGCTCAATAAGCATGCGAGCAGTGAATAGATTAGGGGACGTGGGGAGAGAGAGCTGGAATTTACTTTTTTTAAAAAAAGTGATTAAACCACGATATGATGGGTTAAATGGCTTCCTCCTACGTTATTTAATACTAATAATAACTTCGGAAAGAGACCTTAAAGCAATTCACCGAACTTGCTATAAAGTGTAGTGACTATGTATTTTGTGGGTGAGCACAGCAAGCAATTTGCACACAGCACACCGAAAGAAACTTTTTTTCGAACAGTGCCTTGGGATCTTTAATGTCAAACAGAGAACATGTGCATTTTTGTTTAAGGTTACGATTTGTATCAGAAATAACATGGTATCTCTTGTGCCAATGACATGTGTGTTTGTGTTCCATTTAGTTCCATTCCCAAAGAGTGACCACTTTAAGGAAATAACCTTATTCTTGTTCTCTAAAAGTTATTTTTACTTTAAAAATAAGATAGGGAATTGTAAAAGAATATTTGCACTGGTTGGCGAGTTAGTAGGGGAAGGACACTAATTGCGAGGTGATGACAAAAGGAATTAAAGGGAGATTTTAAACTTACTTTCACCGAGGATGGTGGCAATGAGGCATTGCTGTGCCACAGACCACAGTTGAAGCAATATCCATAAAGTGTATTAAAAGGAAACTAGATAGCAATTAGATAGTTGGTAGAGGTGTTATAATTATGAAACAATTTAATAAAAAGGACGTTGATGGGCTGTTTCCACTTGTTGATGAACCCGAAACAAGGGGACATTAATATAAAATGTAATAGGGAGTGTAGGAGGAACTTGTTTATGTACAGGGTGGTGAGAATGTGGTACTCACTCCTGGAATTGAAGCAGAAAGTGTATTTAAGAAGATTTTTTTGTAGGTGAATGTGGCAGTCAATTTGTGCACAGCAATGCCCCCACAAACAGCCATGAAGTGAATGAGCCTGCTGACACACCAGTTGGACCGATTGACCTGTTCCCATGCTGCATCATCCTATGTAACAGTGTAATTTGTTTAATTCTATGAAATACCAGGTGGGTCTGTGCTCAGAAATTCAATCTCTTTCCCTGCCGAAGGGCAGAGTTGGCTCATGTCTCGTATTTACCTAATGTTTGCTGTGTGTGTGTTTTTTTTTTAATGTCACTGCCTACAGTCTTCTCAAGGTTTTAGTGTAATTTGATAGATATAAGTCAACTGCAAGCATCTTTTCACATTTTCCGCTTTGTTAATGACTCAGATCTGTGACTGATGACTGAAGGCATTTCTGACTAGATGTTGTTGAGAGTGAAAGTGCATGTGAGGACAGGCGAGTAGAGATTATAACAATATTTTCTACCTCCCTCACACTCCCAATTCAAGGAAATTTTCTGCACAAGCAATAATAGTTTTGTAAAAGCTACTGAATGCGTCCCAACCGTGGAGATCGCTGCAGAGCACGTAGGCTCAGCTGGATACGTGCAAATCACACCTGAAGACTTTCCTCTTCTACTGTGCCTTCGGTCACCACCCTTCTTTTCCAGCTTGGTTTCAAACCAGAATGCTGTTAACCTGCTCTCTCTGTTAATTTTTTTTTTTTTTTGGTCAGGCGGGTGTCTGACACACGCAGAAACCCATCACCGTGCTTAAGAGTATCCAAACCAAACTGAGAATTCCATGTATCTCACCTACACGTGGAACTTCCAGAGATAGATTATTGGAATGGAATACGCACTCTCTCCCTGGAGGGACGCATCCTGTTTACCTAATTCTGGAAAGCATTTCACACAGGTTGGCAAGAGCCAAGATTTGGGAACCCCAGAGTGTGCATTGAGGTACTGCTGGTGTTCACTCAGCTAGAACCGCATAGCTTGCCATCGATATTGCTGTCCGGCAAGCTTCCCCGCTGCTTGTTCAGCTCGGACCACCTTATCTGTTAGCTTGCAGGGTTACAGGAGCTGAGTGGGAGGACTTCCTGCCCCCAGTGACTGGTCTGCCCTTCCAGGTCCTCCCGATGTCCTGTGCTGACATTAGCAGTGCCCTGGAATACTGTGGACCTAGCCTTAAGAACCGGACTACTGAGATCGCCACAGAGGGCTGGCTCGATTCTGACATTCATTGTCAGACATATTACTTTGGAGCTGGTTCAACTACAAGGAGATCCCGCTTACCTCCTCGCCAAGCAGACTAGTCTAGTTGGTTGTTCAACAGCCGACAAACGCAGATTTGAGCCCGAACTAGGTGGATTGTAGGTACAAGGAACTCCCTGTGAGCTTCCCAGAAGGCTACACATCTCAGCATGAAATGGGTGAGAGTATTACAACCGTCATCCTGTCCACAGCTTGGGCACACATCCCTTCCCATTGAGCGCTAGTTGCATGACTCTCTGCAGGCTAATCAAAATGGATTCCAGGCGCTGGATGTACGAATATTAACAATCTACTACTGATTGTTAACTCCATAGGTTTTGTCCACAAATTACACAGTGGATTACACACTTTACAGTATATTCTGTGAAGAGCTTTGAGATGTCTCAACAATGTGATAAGGCGTTATAATTAAATGGAAGGATTATTATTATTAAGTATTTCATTACAGCTGAGGGGTTGACTGCCCAAATTGCCTCATTGTGATGAAGCCATTCTGAAGTGAACAGATACAATATAATTCTCTATAAAGTTATTTTTACTTTAAAAATAAGTTAGGCAATAGTAAAAGAATATTTTCAATGGTTGGCGAGTTAGAAGTGGGAGGACACTGATTGCAAGATAATAACCAAATGAAAACAAAGAATGCTTTAGAACTACTAGTAAGGAGTTTCTCCCAGTGTCCTGGCCAACACCCATCATGATTAATCATTTTATATATCTTGATCACGTCGCCTTCTCTGTTCCAGGAAAAAAAAACAATTCTGTGAATTTGGGTAGAACAACAGCCTACACAGAAGCGATATGATTGAGGTGTATAAAATGATTAATCATGATGTGTAGGATGTTGCTGATCCCAAATTCATTATGGATTTACCTAAAGATACAATCAGTAACGTGCTTTGAGACATTTCGATACTGTGGTAAGGCGCTATATCAAATGGGATATATAGTAATATATCACTATTGTAATTGTCATTGCTCTCGACAGTAATAACTGAAAGCACTTTGTGATGTTCTGATATAGAGCAAGTTGCTGTAAAAGAAATCTTGTTTCCTTTAATACTGGAGTTTTGGATGAACTCCAGTAGTCCTGTAGCTCAGTGGTTAGAGCACTCACTTTCAAGCGAGAGACCTGAGTTCCATTCCAGGCAGAGGGCGAAACCTTGGGCAAGTTTCCTGACTCCACACGCCTAATAATAATCCCTCCAAAACCCCAAAAAACAATAATAAATTGGTCATTTTCAATCTACGACTGTTTGTGGGACATTGCTGTGCGCAATTGGCTGCCGCGTTCGCCCACAAATATACAGTCAATTCACCTTAGTGTGATCTGTGAAGCGCTTTGGGACGTCCTCCCGACGTGGAAAGCACTATATCAAATGCAAGGATTATTATTATTATTAACTTGGCTTCTATAGAAAATTGACAGATTGAGGCCTTGGCGGAGGAGGTTTAGGAGAACGATCCCAGGGATGAAGGGCTTTAGTTATTAGGAGAGATTGGAAATGTTGGGTGTTTTTTCACTGGAACAGAGAAGGTTGAGAGGTGACATGATTGAGGTGTATAAAATTATGAGAGGTTTGGACAGAGTGACTAGGGAGAAGCTATTTCCATTTACAGAGGAGTCATTAACTAAGTGCCACAATTTAAGTTAGTAGCAGGAAAGAGAAAAGAGAGTTTAGGAGAGTAGTTGGAATGTGGGATGACCTGCTGAGTAAGGTGGTTGATGCAGAATCCACTGTGGGATCAAGAGAGAAGTTAGAAGGAACGGTACAGGTTTGAGAAAGGATATGGGAATGGGGCATTGCAGTGAGATTGAATGGTGTGAGGGGCAGACTTGATGGTCTGAAAGGCCTGCTTCTGTGCTGTAAATTTCTATGATTCTATGAGAGGAAGTTGAGAGGAATCTGCTTGTGTAAACATTTCAGTGTGTTTAATGGTTAGAAATCATCTCATCCCGTTTCCTCCTTTTTGAGTCTGAACAACTTAGACATTCCCCTCTACAGCTGAACTTTGGTTCTGTTGGTACCCCTTATCCTCCCTTGCCCCTTGCCCTATGTCCTCTTTCACCTGTTGCCTTCCCTCCTTGTCAATCACCCTCTTCCTGCCCTCAACACTTGCCCCTGGGCCATCCTCAGCCCTAGCCCTAGTCAGCTATCCCCCATCACTCAGCACTCCCCTTGCCCTCTTCCCTTTTCCCCAAGCTGGGCAAAGAAATTCCTCCGAGGTGTAGACTTATTTCATGATCATTATGGAAATGTCCAGAAATTGGTCATCTTTTAAATTCTGTCTGCTTTTGAAGCCATTAAGGAAATATTGCAAGTCTCGAGGTGAAATTCTAAGGTGGAATTTCTCACTCTCCCAACCCACCCCCCGTAGATGTTTTTCAATACAGGTATTGATATATTTTTCTTTTATAAGTCTTGCTGTGGGTTTCCATTACACTCTGTAGTCACTTTTACTGCACCATTTCCTGTGTTCAGAGTCATCATAATCAAAGCAATAACATGGTCTACGGAGTTACTGTGGAAACAGCCAATTATGCAATAGTTCGCAACTCTCTCAGCTGGTTTGAGGCTGTGATGTAGGTCGCGTAAGAAATGTAGAGATATGAAGTTCGTCTGCAGAAATTAGCATTTACTCCTAAAAGATGTACATAAAAAAGAACAGCTGATTGTTAAGTTGTGAGTGTGACACGGGCTCTCATGAGTTTTGTGGGTATAAAAATTAAAGTGTGATCCAATTTCAAATTATTTTTTGC